GTATAATTTAAATACACCAAAGACCCATCTTGATTTTGCCATTTCTTTAAAAACCTTTACTGGACAGGATATAATTTCAGCCCTGTATTATCACAAAAACCTGACAAATGTATGCAAAGGGGGTCATTCTGTACCCAGGAAATATAACTTAGCATAATTGAGTGCTTGTTATCACAGTAGCATATATCAGGTTTACAAAATAAACCTGATATAGTTAAATTTATGTGCGCAAAAAACAAAATAATACCATAACCTTTAAAAGAGATTGCTGCTAAAATGGCTGTATAATGAGACTCAAAATATATCATGTACATACCCCATGGTGTCAACATTTACAAATGGTATGCATTTACGTGGTAATTGTAACCGTCAATCTGCTATAACGCCCAAAAATGAGATATAGACCCATCAAATGAATCTAACAAAATTCAAACTGTAAAAACTGAAATGGTCAGACATCTTATATAACTCTGTAACTTCACAGGATAGTGATAACGGCATAGATTGGGGGTATTGTTTTACTAGAAGATAAAGCTGAACAGAATATGGGGTTTTCTACATGAGAAGCACACATCAGATTCAGGAAATACACATAAAAAACAACAACCTTGTTATAGGTGTATATGTAAAATGTAACTACAGCATTTAGCAAAGGTTAGTTAATTAATGGTTATATAAAAAGTGGCAGAATTCCCTGAGATAGACAGCCTGTGATTTCTGTGTTATATAATTTTGTGTCTGTGTTTGTTTCCTTTTACAGCTATTAAGCTTACAAAGCAAACATTTCAAATTCTAAAATCATTCCATATTGAATTTGTATTTAACTCCATGTATTGGGGGACCTGTAACTACCAAAAATAAACTAAAATCCTAGAAATATTATGTACTCTCTAAATCAGGACAAAAATGAATTTATTTTTAATTACTTTTCTTGACCTGTACTAATTAAGCACAAATTATAACTAGATGCACTGCCTCTGCTGGTGAGAAATAATATAGATTACAACAACCGTGATAGTCGTAATTGAGGTTGGAGCACCCTCTACTGGTGAAAAATAATATTGATAACAACAACTGGGATAGTCTTAATTAAGGTTGGAGCACCCTCTACTGGTGAAAAATAATATTGATAACAACAACTGGGATAGTCTTAATTGAGGTTGGCATGCACTCTGTTGTTGAAAAATAGTATTAACTTATTGAGCAAAAAGCTATTTTTTTTTTTTTTTTTTTAAGGAACCTCGCTAAGGCTTTACTGGAATTAAGACACAGATATGAAGTTATACACAATTTTTAGATTTCCTTATGTTTATTTTTTAAAACACTCTTTTTAAGTAAAAACTGATGAGAAAAGCAATTAAACCGTATTCAAATGTTAGTTTCCCCACTTTTGGTTGTGGTTTCTGCTACATTGGTGAAGCGAAGTTAAGGGTTAGAGCCCATTCTCTCTGTGGGGGGAAAAAAAAAGTCAATTTGTTTTGGAAACTGAACTTCTTTGAGAATCCGACTATCTGTATATTCAATTTGGGGCCACAGAGACCAATATGTGGACAGGATTACAATTGGTGATAAAACATTGTCTAAATCAAATGGGTAAAAGATGTCTATTTTTTTGCATGCTTATTGGTTAGAGCAGCAGACACAGAACTACTGGTGGTGTGACAGTACTAGGGCCCCAGTGGGTCAGTTGGCCTGACGACATCTGTCACCTTTGTAGGCACCACAGGGGTCCTTCCTGGCCATGTTGGCACTGTTGGAAGGTCACCCCGAAAAATATGAGGAGTCAGGGCAGCAGGGAGGCTCGATGGGGCCAAGGGAGCTGGACCATGAATGAAGGTGATTGCATCTATTTGTGGATGTAGATATGTGTGCGTTAGTAAGAATGGACTGACAGTGGATTAAGCCCCTGGGCAAATGCAGGGTTACATATAGGTGCGGAGAATGAATGTGCTTGAATACAGGGGAGTAGGTGTGTGTGGATGCATGAGTGTGTTTGTACAGATTTGCTCAGTCTGCGTGAATGTGTATTTGTACCCTAAATTGTCTGTAACCCATTACAAACTCCAATAGATAGTAGTCTGTTCTTCTCCTCTGCTCCCCATAGGTAGTAACATATTATCTGCCCCTTGTAGCTAGTAGCCCCTCACAGTTAATAGCCTAGAGTCCTCCTCTCCTCCATTATTGTAGTAGCCCATTCACCACCTCTCTCCCCATAGCAAGCAGTCCATCCTGCCCCCCATATATAGTATCCTCCATTCCCCCAATAGATCGTACATCATTCACCGCCCCCTTCATACATATTAGCCTGTTCTCCTTTTCTCACACCCCCTTAGATTGTAGCTGGTTACTACACATGCCTCCACTCTGGTCCTATCACAGCCATTATTTAATGATAAATAATAAATAATGAGGCTTCCTTACCTCCTTTGTGCTATATGGGAACCTCCTGAAATACGACGTGTTGCTTATAGGAGTGATAAGAGTAGCTCCGCAAGGCTTGCGCTTCACTTTGACACATCATGTCACTTCCTGAAGACGTTACTGCACACAGATGCCCTGATCAGTGTTACTCTGTGTGGCTGTGTTCATTTCTCCGGCAGAGGCTCCAGGATGCATATGCTCCAGGATGCACATGCTGCCCAAGAGACAGGCACACTGAGAGGCAGCCTAGTAAGCCTTTGGGGAGGAACCATTAGCTGTTCCTCAGTGCGCTGGTTCTGCCTCAGTGGCCAGTTACTGTATCAAGGCCGAACAAGAGAGAAAAGAACTTTAGCAACAGGGATGTAACAAGCCTGCTGACAACCTGACCTATTGTCCCTGCTCAGCCACGTCTTGTCCCTGGAAGGAAATCAGTTATAACACAGAGAGACCCATTTCCCACCCAGTAACTGGACGGCACACAGTTCCAGGGGTACAACAGCAACTTTATTGGCCATACTCGGATTTACACTTTCCCCATGCAAGGGGTGGATCCTGGGGGTCGCATTATGGAATCGGAACCCCAATCCCTTTGTCCCCTGTTCCCACCATCCAGTGTCCCCTCCCAGGGTCATCCCCCTCCCAGGGGCCTGTGCATGTGACAGGAACTCCAGTCCCCAGTTCCCGCCACCCATCCTCAGGGTTTTCCATCTCTGGTGACCAGGATATCTTTATCCTATGAGCCTCTGTACATGGGAGCCCCAGCGTGGTAAAGTTTCCCACCTCTGTGACTCCCAGCTACAGAAAGCCTGCCAAACCGCCATTGTCCCCAAGAGAGTGTCCCCACCAATCTCAGGGACCCCCAGAACGGTAACCGACTCCGCTCGTGGGGTCCCTGGGTGAAACCAGGCAAGGGAAGTGTCTCCTTTTGGGACATGAATGCTCCCTTTGGCCACCGTTCGTCTATACGAACGGCGACTGCCCAGAGAAGCACTCATTAATTACTTCCCTTGCGGTTTCACACTTAATGTTCTAATTGATTGGTGTGAACACTCCAAGGGGCACTAGGGAGGTTCTCGTTCGGGAACTGAATGAGATGTGAAGCAATCCACAAATGCTCCCCCTAGACCCACGGTCGGCACGCGCCAAGGCTTCGCTTGCAGTTTGTGGTTTTGACACCTCGTTACGAGGTGTAAATGTTCTAAGACAACATTCTAAATGAGGTTTCGTGGTGGTCCCTGTTGGGGAGGTGAACGGAACTCGTTTGTATTGGCTCTCCTGAACGGGGAGCAGGTAAAACACAAGAATATAACACAATACAGGAGAAAACACGGGGATATCAATTCACGAACAGGCAGCGGTCCCGCCACAAGGGACCCACAGATACACACACCAACAGACATACAGACACACACAGAAGGCCCAGTATTGTGTGCAGACTGGTTGGGGAGATTGAACTCTCGTGCTGAGCCAATAACTCAAAAGTCTTGGGCCCTCCGTTCATTTTTCTGTCTTTTTTTGTTTGTTTTTGTTAGAGTAGGAGGATGTCTAACTTTATATATAGTATTAAACTCTGTGCAACAATAATTGGACAGATATTTTTTTTTTATAATTTTTGTAATAGTTAGTTTAGTTATTAAAACTTTGTGATAGCGCTATCCTGTGGAAAAAGTAAAGAATAGACTCTCTTATGTGAGGTGAATTTAAATAGCAGGGAAATAAGTACAAATATATGAATACCTAACGTGAGAGGCACTGCCCCTCAGAAAAATAAACTACAATATCTTGGTCTTGTTTAGACAAAGCTGTCAATGGGGTTTAAAATTTAATCCTATGGGGTATGAAAGGGTTAGGAAATTAGGCATTTAAAAATAAAAAAATCCAACTCAGCTATTATTTCAAATGTATCTGTTTTGTTCTAAAATTCCCATTCCCATAATACTTCTCTGTAACTTTCAGTTTAGGGAATAAGCCCCAATGAGGTTTTTTTTTTTTTAATGACAAAACTAGCTAAAGAGGAACATTAATCAAAATGTACAATAACAGAAGAATTGAATCTTTAAAATAAAAATGAATTTGTGTTTTCAGAATGTTATGTGTTATTTCTGTCTGTAAAACTATAAACACTAAATCTGTGAGCCTTATACCTGGCCCCTACTGCCTGAGATTGATGGGAGTCACACTCCAGCATGGCAGCGACCTATAATTTGTGGGTGAGGGAGAGAATTACTGATGGCATTCGTTAATGCTGTTTGCTGCCCAGCAAGCTACTCCTCAAATCACTCTCAGGCATCCCAGGACACGTATGAAGGAAGCAGCTATGAATGTGAGTCTGACTGTCAGTAATGCACTAGATTTAAAAATAAATAACAGAATAATAATTCTCACGTATGTGTTTTTGTGTGTTTTAGCTATAGAATAGATGGTTTAACCCCTTAAGGACACATGACATGTGTGACATGTCACGATTCCCTTTAATTCCAGATGTTTGGTCCTTAAGGGGTTAATAGTCTGACTTGCTGTATTGGTTTGAGAAAAACTACAACTACCAGCATGCTTTGCACACACTTCCTGTCAGGTCTGGAGGCTAGTGCTTGCAGGGAGTATTACAGAGTAAAGTTCAGTCCCCTGTGTCCCCCAGTGCATTGGATCAAACTCTCACAAATGGGGTAAGTTACATTAACCCATTCACTTCAGAAATTAAAGTTTGGTACCGATCTGTTCTAAAATGTTCTATTTAAACTATATTTGCTGTCATTTCCATAGGCTGTTATCACACTCTGAATTTCCTGTGTTACAGCACAGAGTGGGTGCCGTACAATGTAACATAGTCTATAAACAGTACTGCAGCATTTGTAATAGGGATAGGAAGCTGCTAGACCAGGTAGGTACAAGGTGGCTCTAAGGTACTCTCTAAACCAGACCTGCACAATTTAGCAATAGGTAGGAGCCAAAATTAAATAGGCTAAGCTTCTTTGGAGACACAGATTTGTAGTTACACGCACATGGACATACAGACACACACACTGATGGACATGCAAATGCACACACACTGACATACAGATACACACACATACATTGACAGATGCAATAACAGACATACAGACAAGCACACTGACAGACATACATACATACACACACACATACATTGACAGACACAATAACAGACACACACACAAATAGGGGTTCTGATGTCTCATCTGACTTAACATATTGAATTAATTAACATGTTTCCTATATGGTTGTGTTGTGGATTACTTTATATTCACCTTATTACCTTACATAAGGTGAGCATCATTTTATTAGCTTAGTTTTTCTTTTTGCTGCAGAGCTGCTTTTTATACTGCTATTTTTATTATTATTGCAATAAGGGGGTGGATTTCAGACTATTTCTGTGGGGTGACTTCAAAGGCACGGGAGTTGGCTATTAGGACTAGCCTGCTGAGGTACACTTCCTCCTGTTTTCCCACTGCTTAGCAAGGACCCCCTGTCTCTCTCTCTGCTCAGTGTTCAAACTGCTAGTAGTTTATCCTTCTTTATCTGTCACATTCTTACCTCATCTGTCTAATGCTAACTGTTCCTATACACATTCTTCTAAGGCGGATCCCTTATCTCTCCCCACAGCACACGGATCTGGTGCTGGCATATTACATACAAACTAGCAATCTTCACTTGCCGAGGACAGCGTTTTACCAGCCACACTGCTGCAATGTCGATTCAATAGATGCTATGGACAATTGGCGTCCTAATCAGTGCTGTATTTAGCGCAAGGCTGACAAGGCATTTGCCTTGGGCAGCACTTTCATGGGGGCGGCAATAAAAGCGACCCCCCATATGCCCCGGCAGATGCATGTCAGCCTCTTGCACTGGGGGGCCCAGGGGCTGGCTGGCCACCTTGGGGCTCCCCAAAGCTGGCATCTGCTGATGTTGAAGGCGGGTGGCGAGGGAACGCTTTCCCCTGAGCTCTCCCTACTAAGCTCCTTCGTGTGCTCCACAGTGATGGCGATGCCGGAATATGACATCACTCCGGCCCCAGCATCACTGAGCAAGGAAATCAGAACTCCCTCGCCGCCTCAATTGACCGACCACCTGCTTGGCAGTTAAAGGATGCCCACTGGACCTTAGGGAAATAGAGAATCCACTCCAGCACTCCAGCAAACATAGGGAGACTGGGTGGATTGAAATTTAAAAAAAATTAAAAAATTTGTGTCAGTGAGTGTGTATGTGTCAGTGAGTATACAGGGAGTGCAGAATTATTAGGCAAGTTGTATTTTTGAGGATTAATTTTATTATTGAACAACAACCATGTTCTCAATGAACCCAAAAAACTCATTAATATCAAAGCTGAATATTTTTGGAAGTAGTTTTTAGTTTGTTTTTAGTTTTAGCTATGTTAGGGGGATATCTGTGTGTGCAGGTGACTATTACTGTGCATAATTATTAGGCAACTTAACAAAAAACAAATATATACCCATTTCAATTATTTATTATTACCAGTGAAACCAATATAACATCTCAACATTCACAAATATACATTTCTGACATTCAAAAACAAAACAAAAACAAATCAGTGACCAATATAGCCACCTTTCTTTGCAAGGACACTCAAAAGCCTGCCATCCATGGATTCTGTCAGTGTTTTGATCTGTTCACCATCAACATTGCGTGCAGCAGCAACCACAGCCTCCCAGACACTGTTCAGAGAGGTGTACTGTTTTCCCTCCTTGTAAATCTCACATTTGATGATGGACCACAGGTTCTCAATGGGGTTCAGATCAGGTGAACAAGGAGGCCATGTCATTAGATTTTCTTCTTTTATACCCTTTCTTGCCAGCCACGCTGTGGAGTACTTGGACGCGTGTGATGGAGCATTGTCCTGCATGAAAATCATGTTTTTCTTGAAGGATGCAGACTTCTTCCTGTACCACTGCTTGAAGAAGGTGTCTTCCAGGAACTGGCAGTAGGACTGGGAGTTGAGCTTGACTCCATCCTCAACCCGAAAAGGCCCCACAAGCTCATCTTTGATGATACCAGCCCAAACCAGTACTCCACCTCCACCTTGCTGGCGTCTGAGTCGGACTGGAGCTCTCTGCCCTTTACCAATCCAGCCACGGGCCCATCCATCTGGCCCATCAAGACTCACTCTCATTTCATCAGTCCATAAAACCTTAGAAAAATCAGTCTTGAGATATTTCTTGGCCCAGTCTTGACGTTTCAGCTTGTGTGTCTTGTTCAGTGGTGGTCGTCTTTCAGCCTTTCTTACCTTGGCCATGTCTCTGAGTATTGCACACCTTGTGCTTTTGGGCACTCCAGTGATGTTGCAGCTCTGAAATATGGCCAAACTGGTGGCAAGTGGCATCGTGGCAGCTGCACGCTTGACTTTTCTCAGTTCATGGGCAGTTATTTTGCGCCTTGGTTTTTCCACACGCTTCTTGCGACCCTGTTGACTATTTTGAATGAAACGCTTGATTGTTCGATGATCACGCTTCAGAAGCTTTGCAATTTTAAGAGTGCTGCATCCCTCTGCAAGATATCTCACTATTTTTGACTTTTCTGAGCCTGTCAAGTCCTTCTTTTGACCCATTTTGCCAAAGGAAAGGAAGTTGCCTAATAATTATGCACACCTGATATAGGGTGTTGATGTCATTAGACCACACCCCTTCTCATTACAGAGATGCACATCACCTAATATGCTTAATTGGTAGTAGGCTTTCGAGCCTATACAGCTTGGAGTAAGACAACATGCATAAAGAGGATGATGTGGTCAAAATACTCATTTGCCTAATAATTCTGCACTCCCTGTATATGTGTCACAGTGTTTGTGTGCATATGTCAGTGAGTGTGCATGCATTTATATCAGTAAATGTGTATGTGTGTCTGTCAGTGAGTGTGCATGTGCGTCTTGTCAGTGAGTGTGTATGTGTATCTGTCAGTTAATGCGTGTATGTCAGTTAGTGTGTATGTGTGTCTGTCAGGGAGTATGTGTGTCTCTCGGTGAGTGTGTATAACTGTGAGTGAGTATAACTCTGAATATGTGAGTGAGTGTGTATGTTTCAGTGAAAGTGTGTGTTGGTTAAACAGTGTGTGTGACAATGACTGTGTATCTGTCAGTGAGTGTATGTCAGTGTATGCATCAGTGAAGGCGTGTGTTTGTCAGGCAAAGAATGTGTTGGTTTTAAAGAGAATTTAGAAGGTGGGGGGGGAGGGGGGAGGAATACACCACTGGTCCTTACATTCAATACATATACTCTGCTGTTTCCAGGTATTATCTCTCCTTCCTCCGTTGTGTAGGTAAATTGAATCATAGACTTACATCTACACACTTTTCTACCTTTGTTTTTATTTTACTATTTTTATTTGGTGTCATTAAAAGTCAAGTTTTATTTTTCTCACAGTCTGGCTACATTACAATACCAACATTTTCAGGTTATCTCCTAATTTCACAACACCTGCTGGCTTTCTCAGTTGTCTGCATGAGCAATTTAGGGGTTACCCCAATTCTAAGGTGGGTGTTTTAGCTCAGTTTTTTATTTTCTTAGTTGACATACAGATACACACACACTAACAGACATACAGATACACAAACCAACAGACATACAGATAAACACACACACTAACAAACATACAGACACACAAACACAGATACGAACACACTATGAATCACTAAAGTCGGTAAGAAATTCAAAAGGGGGCTATGAGACACTGATGTGAAGATGCATTTTTTGGTGGGGGCGTTGGCAAAATGCATCTTCGCCTGTGTAACTAAAAATCCTCGCACCGGCCCTGGGTGCTTCCTATGTCATTGTGCAGCACTGGCGTTCCGTGTCTCAAAAACCTATTATTAATTTAATTAGAAGGCTTTGAAGTGCGGCTTCAAGCCATGGCTCCAAGCCCTGTGTGTATGTGTTTTGGGAATCTTACTTTCCGGCTCCATACCGTAACCTACCATGATCTCATGCGCGTATGCTTACTGCTGTCACGGTCGGCCATAGAGAATCATTGTATTTAATGATTCGCTATGGAGGAATCGTAGGAGCATTGCGGCAAGCATGTCCCCAATGCTCCTCTGTACGGTGCATTGGATTGACATGTCATCCTGGACGCAACCTGAGGAGACTTTGCACTGGGTATAAGATGAGTAATTTGTTTATTTTATTGTTTCGTTTTTATTTTTGTGCTAGTGTGTGGAGAATGATTAAAAGACGACTTTAATCACCCAGACCACTTCAGATCAATGAAGTGGTCTGGCTGCCAGGTCCCCCAGGTTTTAACCCTTCACATGTAAGCATAGCAGTTTCAGAGAATCCAGCCTCTAATGGCTCTCTTCCTAAGTAATGCTTTCCTATGAGCGGTTTGAATGTGCGCGCGGCAGTGGCTGCGCATGCGCATTCGGCTTCACTTGGGAGCTGACGTCGGAGGGCGAAGAGAGGTCACCGGCGCTGGATTAAGGTAAGTGGCTGAGGGTGGGGGGGACCTAAGGACTATAAAGGGCCAGGAAAACAAGTTTGTTTTTCTTGCACTATAGTGGTCCCTTAAGGGCACCAGGACTGTAGCATTACGAATACAGATATGTATTCCTATCGCTACATTGTTCCTTTAACAAAGCTTCTGGTTTGCACATTCCTGGCTGTCTGCCTGCCTTGTCCCCTAACACAAAGCTAAAGTGAGGCTTGTCATAGAGAAGCGTTGTATCCAATGAGGGGCATTGGAATGGCCTTCGGATTTCTGAAGTGATGATCTTCCAGAGGCGGAGTGGAGCTGCAGCATTGCATTACATGTAAGTTAACTGTAATGCAGGAGGGCCCACTGATCTAAATGGTGTTTTAAACACTCCAGCGTTAGAAAGATTTTTTATTTATAACACTGGAGTGTTCCTTTAAAAGGCCATTTTCTGTTACTATGAATTCAGAGCCATTCAAAGGGTCAATTAAGACAAACAGGAACTGCTTTCCCGAGGACACTGACAGTAATAATGACCCTTAGCAGTTTGATAGCAAATTTATACTAGACCTTCATTGGATAACACTTCTTATGGGTATCGTTAACGGTGCTTATTGTACTCCTAGGGCGTTTGCCCCGACGATTGTGGAACCTCGATACACCATTTGTGTTTTTTTGTTCAGTTATATTTTGTATTCTGTCTAATGTAGGCTATTCAGCCCTTGTTTTATAGATCTTGAAAATGGTGCTCAAACTGTTGTACAACTTGAGACTCTGTATTTCATGTGCAGACATAAATGATTCAAATAAATAGACATAGAGAGCAGGGTAGAGAGACAGAGACAGTGGGAGAGACTGTGATACAGAGTGTGAGACACACACACACACACACACACACACAGAGAGTGAGTGTGTGAGAGACACTGAGATTCTGAGAATGGGAAAGAGACAGAGTGTGATTCAGACAGTGGGAGAGACAGTGACAGACAAAGAGTGTGATTAAGACAGTGAGTGACAGACAGTGAGTGTAGGACAGTGGGAGTGTGATTTAGACAGTGGGAGAGACAGTGAGTGTAGGACAGTGGGAGGGTGATTCAGACAGTGGGTGTGATGCAGTGAGTGTGATTCAGACAGTGGGAGAGACAGTGAGTGTGATGCAGTGAGTGACAGAGAGACAGTGAGTGACAGTATCCATGTTGTTTATCACAGAGGCTCCAACTGATTTGAGTTCCCTGCCTCTCTCTGTATCATGTGACCTCAGTATAACTTGGTCCATGTGACATCACAGCTCCTATAGCTGGGAACTAGCCACTATCTGCTTCTCTTTGTATCACTGATAATGTTAGAATCCCTCCAATCAGAGCTTCCTTTATAAACTGCTTCTAGAATGTGACTGTGTGACTGGGAGCAGTGTGAGAGTTCGGGGAGAATCCTGCAAACTGAAAGCTGTGCTCTCATTGGCTAGTGGGCGTGTCATATGCAAAATAAGCCATTCTGTTATTTCACTCCAACAATCATGTTACTAATGTATAAAACCATTGAAAAATCCTCTGGAACAGTTCAGGTATTATTCTCCAAAATGTTGTTTGATAATATTGTGTATATTTGTGTAAATGTGAAATGTATAGAATGTCATCACATGTTTAAAAGAAACCTTTTGCAGCCGGTTCTTTGCTTGTCGTAGATGTTCTTTAAGACTATACTTTCAGGGATCATTTCTATAGTTTGTAACTGGTGAAATGTGCTCTAAAGTGTCCAAACTCAGTACCCACGAGGAAGAGCTAGAGTGTTTTCTCCTGAGCGTGAAGTGGGCTCCCAGTGCTGCTTTATTGTAGCTGCTGGTTGCTTTTGATGATCGTTCCTTTCTCCTTAATTGGAGAGTAGGAGGGAGAGAACACAAGCTGAGTGGTTGCTTCTTAATATGTTAAAAGTCAGTTATATCACTTTATTATTTTCTTGAATTGTAATAGTAGTGTTGATGTCACTGATGGTAATTTTTGTGCTATGTATTGTTCTAGTTGTGTAAGATAAATTATGTATTACGTTGGAGTGATTTTTCATATGCTATTTATTGGTAAGAAATAGTATGTTCTGGCATTCGGAGTCTCATAGCGTTAATGTGCTATCTGTTGGCAGCTGCATATATTACATACCATGTGAAGCTGTCACTGTGATTGATTTTATAATTTAAGGATAATATGGTTTGTGTCTGTTTCTCAACATCCGGACTGAAGAGTCTCTAATTAATTTATTACGGTTATATTATTAGCTCTTTCGTAACAGTAGAAATACTGAGTTTATATCTACAGGCATACCCTGCTTTACATACACTCACTTTAAGTACACTCGCGAGTACAGACATTCCTGCGCCTCTTCTGTCCGTGAGTGAACAGGAAATGGAAGGTTCTATTCTCGCACGGATCAGCTCAGTTCAGTGTCTTTGGCACAGGTGAATCAGCTAAAATTTAGAATGTCTACTCCTAGCTGAACATATATATATTTTTTCTGCCCCTACATTGTCCATATACTGCAATCGGCGCCATCCAGTGAAAGGGCTTACCCTGCCATTTTCTATAGCTATGACTTAACAGCTTAGCTGCATTAGCCACAATTCTGAGGATTCAAAGTTAAAACATAAATGCTTAAAGTGATGAAGAGGTGTTTCTAAACAAAGTATGCAACTAAGCTGCTAACAAATACAAAGGCTGTTTAAGGTTGTCAGATAAGTAAAAAGATAAATGGTACAATCTGGAATTAGATTTTTCTTTTTACTGTTTGTTTTAACTGAATAAAAGCTGACTGGAAATCACTAAATAGATCACTGGAAATAAAATCACTGGAAATCTGCAGTTGCAGTATCAGTTATGCATGTAAATTACTATTGCAATGCAGTACATGCATTGGGAAGTGAAAAAAGGTATTGCTTCACTTTAAGTACATTTTCGTTTTACATACATGCTCTGGTCCCATTGTGTAATTAAAAGTGGGGTATGCCTGTATATGGTGATAATGAATAGCAATTTTTGTGTATTCTACGTTGTTCAGTTAGTGCGCCATCTGTTGGCAGTAGTGTGTAATCTCTAATGTAATATTACTCATGCGCCATCTGTTGGCAGTAGTGTGTAATCTCTAATGTAATGTTACTCATGCGCATCTGTTGGCAGTAGAGTGTGTAATCTCTAATGTAATGTTACTCATGCGCCATCTGTTGGCAGTAGAGTGTGTAACCTATAGACTGTAAACTTGTTTGAGCAGGGTCATGTTCAACCTATTGTTCCTGACCTGTAAGTTTTCTTATAATAGTTAACCCCTTAAGGACGGCGGGCGTGCTATGCCATCCTTGGGGACCCGGATCTAAACGCTGGGGGGCGGCATAGCACGCCCTCACCGTCCTTTCTACTTACCCTATCACTATATATATATACTTATATATAAATTTAAAAAATTATATACATAAATATATATACACGTGTGTGTGTGTGTGTGTGTATATATATATATATATATATAATTAGGTCATTTTATTAATTACAATTTGTGGGACCTGCCTGACAACCCAGGCCAAAAGTCCAGGGAATTTAATTTGCTAGCACTATATTTAACCCTGTAACTTTCCAAGACACCATACAACCTGTACATGATGGGTACTGTTTTACTCGGAAGACTTCGCTGAACACAAATATTAGTGTTTCAAAACAGTAAAATGTATTACAAAGATTATATCGTCAGTGAAAGTGACATTTTTTGCATTTTTCACACACAAATGGCACTTACACGGACGATATAATTGTTGTGATACGTTTTACTGTTTTGAAACACTAATATTTGTGTTCAGCGAAGTCTCCTGAGTATAACAGTACCCATCATGTACAGGTTGTATGGTGTTTTCAAAAGTTACAGCGTCAAATATTACGCTTGCGTTTCACTTTTTTCACATTGAAATTCGCCAGATTGGTTATGTTGCCTTTGAGACCGTATGGTAGCCTAGGAATGAAAATTACCCCAATGATGGCATACCATTTGCAAAAGTAGACAACCCAAGGTATTGCAAATGGGGTATATCCAGTCTTTTTTTAGTAGCCACTTAGTCACAAACACTGGCCAAAACTGGCATTCAAATTAGTTTTTGGCAATTTTCACACACAAACAAATATTAACACTAACTTTGGCCAGTATTTGTGACCAAGTGGCTACTAAAAAAAGACTGGAAATACCCCATTTGCAATACCTTGGGTTGTGTACTTTTGCAAATGGTATGCCATCATGGTGGTAATTCTCATTCCTGGGCTACCATAGGGTCTCAAAGGAAATGTAACCAATCTAGCGAATTTCAATGTGAAAAAACTGAAAAATGTAACATGCTATATTTGACCCTGTAACTTCTTAAAACACCATAAAACCTGTATTTAGGGGGTACTGTTTTACACGTGAGACATCGCTGAATACAAATATGCGCATTTTAGTGCAGTAAAATCAAACAATATTATGACATTCACAGTTAAAATATCACCTAGAACTAAACATTTTTTTAAAATTCTTATTTTCTCCAATTTTTTTATATATTATTCATATTAAATTATGTTTCATACCTAAATATTTTATGATAAATGAAAGCCCTGTTTCCCATGAATAAAATTATATATAATAAGGGTGGGTGCACATAATATGAAAGAGGCGAATTACGCCTGAACAGACATATAGCGCAAATTCAAGTTTTTGTTTACATTTGTTTTTTTATCACAATGTGTACTCACGTTTGTCTCCGTCCTTAAGGGGTTAAATCCCCCTCTCATAATATTGTAAAGCGCTACGAATCTGTTGGCACTATATAAATGGCAATAATAATTTCTAATGTAATATTACTCATGCACCATCTGTTGGCAGGAAAGAGTAATTTCTGTAATCTGATATCACTCTTCTTGCGCCATCTGTTGGCAGGAAAGTGTAATTTCTGTAATTTAATATCACTCTTGCGCCATCTGTTGGCAGGACAGAGTAATTTCTGTAATCTAATATCACTCTTGCGCCATCTGTTGGTAGCTGTGTTTATTTCATTTCCTTTGAAACCACATTCAGTTTATTTTTCTCTTGCATGTTACCTGTACTAAAATGGTTTGTGTCTTCTTAACATCCAGAGGGGTGAGGGGTAGTACTTACCATCTACATTAGTTTATATAAAGTTCAGTCCCCTGTGTCCCTGTGCATTGGATCAAATTTACACATGGGGTAAACTCAGTTAATCCCTTCATGACTAATTTCGTTCAATAATCTAGACTTTGCCAGAAACTAAAGTTTGGTATATTATTTACTGATCAATACAAAATTTTGCCCAGTGCTGTTTTTTGCTGAATAATCAATCATTATTAGACTTAGTAAGATTTTGGGAAGCATAGTTGCTGTCATTTCCATAGGCTGTTATCACACTCTGAATTTCCTGTGTTACAGCACAGAGTGGGTGCCGTACAATGTAACATAGTCTATAAACAGTACTGCAGCATTTGTAATAGGGATAGGAAGCTGCTAGACCAGGTAGGTACAAGGTGGCTCTAAGGTAGACGCTAAACTAAAGCTATGACGATTGTGGTACCTTGTCACACCATTCGTATTATTTGGCATTTTATATTTTTTCGATTACAGTTATATTTTGTATTCTAACCAACAGAGACTATTCAGCCCTTGTATTATATAATCTTGAAAATGCTGCTCGAATTGTTGTAAAAGTGAAATACTCTGTACTTTGTGTGCAGACATAAAGCATTTCAAAAATAAAACGAGCACTCTATGTCTTTTGGACCTAACTTTGAATGTATTTTATGTATAAAGCATGAAAATATGCAATATAAATAGCAAGATACAGGGTTTTAGGCATGTGCATTGATTTCATGTATCATTAATATGTACCTGTGATCCCCTCTACAATTTATACTCATTTTAAAGAGCATAAGATTTCATCTATACATATACAGCTATGTGACAGTCTGCAGACCAACTGCAGCAGGACTGGGCTGGCCATCGGGCAAATGTCCAAGGGTCGATATGGTCATGGGCTTAGGCCCACAGGGGAAAATAGTGGATCTCCCCTGCTGCACCGGCACTATCTATGCACTGGCCCTGCTGTGTGCTTTCACAGGCTGGTGGGAGATCTCTCTCACTGGCACTTTAAAATCTGCATAGGGAGAGGAGAACCTAGGGGTCCAGCAGCTTCGCCGGGTTTCTCATGTGTGCTTGGAGCGTTGCTGCTGTTACAACAATAATGCTCGGAGGCTAAATCACGTGAACGTGAACTCTAGCAGCAGGAGCTGCAGGCTAGAGTTCACTCACCACCGGACCACCAGGGCTTAAGCAATAGAAACATAGAATGTGACGGAAGATAAGAACCATTCAGCCCATCTAGTCTGCCCAATTTTCTAAATACTTTCATTAGTCCCTAGCCTTATCTTATAGTTAGGATAGCCTTATGCCTATCCCACGCATGCTTAAACTCCTTTACTGTGTTAACCTCTACCACTTCAGCTGGAAGGCTATTCCATGCATCCACTGCCCTCTCAGTAAAGTAATACTTCCTGATATTATTTTTAAACCTTTGTCCCTCTAATTTAGGACTATGTCCTCTTGTTATGGTAGTTTTTCTTCTTTTAAAAAAAGTCTCCTCCTTTTCTGTGTTAATTCCCTTTATGTATTTAAATGTTTCTATCATATCCCCTCTAACTTTGTAAAATTAATATATTTACCTCCATCTGCCTCCCCACACAAGTACCAATCCCAGCACATTCACACACTGCACCCCTCACACATACTGCCGTCCGGATTTATTTCCATTTCTGGGGACACCATGGAACTGTCTTTGGGCAGAAGAGCATGAGCGCATCATACAGACACTAGAACCATGCAGAGAGAGCTGCAGCATGTATGCTGGGGGCCAGCATATATCAGTGATTGGGTAGGCTTAAAAGAACACTCCATTGAAATATGTACCACCCACTATTTAGTAGATCTATATATACCAAAATAAACAAGCTGTAATGTGTGTGATAACCAGGGTAGAGGCTGAGTGGTAGCTGTAGTGTGTGTGATAACCAAGGTAGAGGCTGAGTGTGGGGTGATAGTAGCTGTAGTGTGTGTGATAACCAAGGTAGAGGCTGAGTGTGGGGGGATAGTAGCTGTAGTGTGTGTAATAGCCAGGGTAGAGGCTGAGTGTGGGGGTATAGAAACTGTAGCGTGTGTGATAGCCAGGGTAGAGGCTGAGTGTGGGGGGATAGTAGCTGTGTGTGATAACCAAGGTGAGGCTGAGTGTGGGGGGATAGTAGCCAGCCAGGAGGCTGAGTGTGGGATAGTAGCTGTAGTGTGTGTGATAGCCAGGGTGAGGCTGAGGGTGGATGAGTAGGGGATAGTAGCTGTAGTGTGTGTGATAACCAAGGTAGAGGCTGAGTGTGGGGGGATAGTAGCTGTAGTGTGTGTGATAGCCAGGGTAGAGGCTGAGTGTGGGGGGATAGTAGCTGTAGTGTGTGTGATAGCCAGGGTAGAGGCTGAGTGTGGGGGGATAGTAGCTGTAGTTATTATTATTGCCATTTATATAGCGCCAACAGATTCCATAGTGCTTTACAATATTATGAGAGGGGGCTTTAACTATAAATAGGAAAATTACAAAAAAACTTACAGGTTGAAGAGGATCTTGCTCAAACGAGCTTACATTCTATAGGAGGTGGGGTGTAAAACACAATAGGACAGGAATTTGCAATTAAATAAGGTGGGAGTGAGGCAGAGCTGGAGGAGAGTAGAGTGCTGCCCTTTAGGAGAGAGCAAGAGACAGGTATGTGAGGTAGAGGTTAGTCTGGGAGGCCATAGGCTTTCCTAAAGAGATAGGTTTTAAGGCACTTCTTAAACGATGCAAGACTAGGGGTGAGTCTGATGGAGGTAGGCAGGTTATTCCATAGGAAGGGAGCCGCCCGCGAGAAGTCCTGCAAGCGTCAGTTGGCCGTACAGGTGCGAATAACGGACAGGAGATGGTCACGGGCAGAGCGGAGAGACCGAGAAGGGTATGGATCTGTGAAGAGATATGAGGGGCTAGAATTGTTCAGTTCTTTATAGGTGTGAATTAGTACCTTGAATTGACTCCTATAGCACACAGGAAGCCAGTGTAAGGACTGACAGAGGGGTGAGGTGTGAGAGAACCGACTAGAGAGGAAAATCAGTCTGGCGGCAGCGTTCATTATGGACTGCAGCCGTGCAATACGGCTTTTAGTGTGTGTGATAACCAGGGTAGGGGCTGAGTGTGTGAGGGGTGGGAATAGGAGGCATCTCTACAAACATTCAATACGCCATATTGACACACATTACTCAAGCAGCCTACCCCACATACACAACCTCCACAAATACAAAACCAGACAGTGAGTGTGATTCAATGAGTTGGAGACACAGTGAGAGTCACATAGAGAGGGAGTGTGGGACAGTGGGATTGTAATACAGAGAGTGTGTGATGCAGACAGTGGGAGAGACAATGAGTGAGAGACAGTGAGTGACAGTGAGTTTGATGCAGACAGAAAGAGACAGTGAGTGACAGAATGTGATTCAGACAGTGGGAGAGACAGTGAGTGACAGACAGAGAGTGTGATTCAGACAGTGGGAGAGACAGTGAGTGAGAGACAGTGAGTGACAGTGAGTTTGATGCAGACAGAAAGAGACAGTGAGTGACAGAATGTGATTCAGACAGTGGGAGAGACAGTGAGTGACAGACAGAGAGTGTGATTCAGACAGTGGGAGAGACAGTGAGTGTGATGCAGTGAGTGACAGTATCCATGTTGTCTATCACAGAGGCTCCAACTGATTTGAGTTCCCTGCCTCTCTCTGTATCATGTGACCTCAGTATAACTTGGTCCATGTGACATCACAGCTCCTATAGCTGGGAACTAGCCACTATCTGCTTCTCTTTGTATCACTGATAATGTTAGAATCCCTCCAATCAGAGCTTCCTTTATAAACTGCTTCTAGAATGTGACTGTGTGACTGGGAGCAGTGTGAGAGTTCGGGGAGAATCCTGCAAACTGAAAGCTGTGCTCTCATTGGCTAGTGGGCGTGTCAAATGCAAAATAAGCCATTCTGTTATTTCACTCCAACAATCATGTCACTAATGTATAAAACTATTGAAAAATCCTCTGGAACAGTTCAGGTATTATTCTCCAAAATGTTGTTTGATACTATTGTTTATATTTGTGTAAATGTGAAATGTACAGAATGTCACCACATGTTTAATAGAAACCTTTTGCAGCCGGTTCTTTGCTTGTAGTAGCTGTTCCTTAAGACTATACTTTCAGGGATCATTTCTATAGTTTGTAACTGGTGAAATGTGCTCTAAAGTGTCCAAACTCAGTACCCACGAGGAAGAGCTAGAGTGTTTTCTCCTGAGCGTGAAGTGGGCTTCCAGTGCTGCTTTGTTGTAGCTGCTGGTTGCTGTTGATGATCGTTCCTCTTTCCTTATTTGGAGAGTTGGAGGGAGAGAACACAAGCTGAGTGGCTACTATATCTCTGGTTAAAAATAAATAAGGTTTGTTTGAAACTCTTCCTCCGTTCGGAGAATTTCATTTAGGTTACTACAATGAAATTTTGTTCTTGTAACGTGCAACATTGTAGTTTTTAATTTTATTATAGTTCAATCCGATTAAGTGGCACTGTATGTTACAGATTAAGAATAAAGCAAATAATTGATTTTTATTAAGGATAACTGTTTAGCGCCATGGTTTTAGGAATTTATCATTATTGGCTGTATTATATTGATGTTTGGTGACAACTGTTCTTCTCTTTGCAAAAAATAATTTGTGCGCCATCTGTTGTTCTGCTGTCTGTAATCTAATCTAACAGCATTCATGCGCCATCTGTTGGCAGGAAAGTGTAATATCTGTATTCTAACAGCATTCATGCGCCATCTGTTGGCAGCTTCATGTATTTTATTACATTTTTAACACAGTCGCAGTGATTGAATATTTCTTTCCTGTCCTCATGTTGAAAATGTTTGTGTTTGCTATTTACCTTCCAGAGGGGGAGGGGCAATTATTATCTATAGTGAAAACTAATTTGATAAATTTATAGTAAGTACTAATTTTAATTCTAGCTTACTTTTATTTATCATGAGATTTTGTGCAAAATCAAGGTTACAGAGTAACAGTATACTACATATATAGCACATCATTTATTATTACATGTGTTTATTAAAGGATCACTATAGTGTCAGTGACTTCAGCCACTTACATTAATCCAGCCCCGGGCTCCCTCGGCGCTGGTGACCCCTCCTCCCTTTCCGACGTCAGCTCCCCTGGCCAACGTCTATGGACGCTCTGCGCGATGGAGGCGAAATTATTCTCCAGCGTCGCAGATGTGCCTCTAGTGGCTAGAGGCTGGATTAACCCCAAATGTAAACATGTTTGCATCTGAAGGGGTAAAACCTGAAGGACCTGGCACCCAGACCACTTCTTTGAGCTGAAGTGGTCTGGGTGACTATAGTGTCCCTTTAAGCAGCTACTGTCTGTCTCCATCATCTACTTAGAGCTTTATGAAATACATTATTGCATGTATAGTAATAATTTTTAACGATAAAAAAACAGGTCCTAGAGGTAAACAATTTGTCTACAGATTTTCTTTCAATCCAGTAACACAAATAAAAACTGATTTTTCCAATTGAAAAAGAGCTTTATTGCTTAAACAACAATGCTGTTCATGTCATCCATCAAACAGTACAAGACACATCAATGCATATCTGTATTATGGCATTCTAACAGATACAAATGCTAGTATACATACATAATTATACCACGAATGATGCATTAACCCACACACACTCACACAATTGTTTGAAGTTTCTCATAGTGAGGTTAAAGTGGGTAAAGTAACCGACTTCTGAGACCAAGTTATTGTTGTTGTTGTTGCTGTTTGGCTTGTATTGTGTGGCTTTTGTTAATGAAATGAAGTTTCCTCAGCTCTCTGGCTATCTCATTCCAGTCTATCATCTAATTCTACACATCTCTACACAGCAATGGCTTATGGGATACATACTTTATCCCCTACACAAAGTACCAGGCAAACTGTTCTATAAACTGATAGCAGCCATTATGTAACTGCTATCACTTTACACGTTGCTCTGTCATGCTATCATATTGGCATGCCCAGTTAATAGCTCAGCCCATTATATTACTACATAGCTTGGTCAGAGTTTCAAAGCACCCAGGGAATTGGACACATAGATATACAATCTCAGACACACAAATCTCCCCTTTGATCTATCCTGTGAGTGTGTCTGCAATGCATGTCTGTCTGTGAATGTGTGTGTGTTTCTCTATCTGGGTGCATGTGTCAGGGTGTCTCTGTGAGAGTGTCTGCCATGTATGTCTGTCTGTGAATGTGTGTGTGTTTCTCTATCTGGGTGCATGTGTCAGGGTTTCTCTGTGAGATTGTCTGCCATGTATGTCTGTCTGTGAATGTGTGTGTTTCTCTATCTGGGTGCATGTGTCAGGGTGTCTCTGTGAGAGTGTCGCCATGTATGTCTGTCTGTGAATGTGTGTGTTTCTCTCTCTGGGTGCATGTGACAGGGTGTCTCTGTGAGAGTGTCGCCATGTATGTCTGTCTGTGAATGTGTGTGTTTCTCTCTCTGGGTGCATGTGTCAGGGTGTCTCTGTGGGAGTGTCTGCCATGTATGTCTGTCTGTCTGTGAATGTGTGTGTTTCTCTCTCTGGGTGCATGTGTCAGGGTGTCTCTGTGAGATTGTCTGCCATGTATGTCTGTCTGTGAATGTGTGTGTTTCTCTCTCTGGGTGCATGTGTCAGGGTGTCTCTGTGAGTGTGTATCTCTGTCTCAGGGTGTTTGTGAGGAGCTCCAAGAATTCTGAAGGCAGCCTTGGTAAAGATAAAGGTTCACTCTGTAGAGATTTGTTTTTTTAGAACCAGGCATTGTCCCGCTGCACCAAAATCTACTGTGTGAACCAGGCCAGATACTCCATGTACACAAATCTGTTGCCTGAATGAGGCTGTGTGGCCCCACTAGGCACTAGCATATGTGCCAAGACGTTCCAGTAATTGTGCTTTGAATAACTTTAGAAGTGCATACCTTTATACTAATTTACAGTTTCATAATTCTCCTCTGGTTTGCCAAGAACATTGTGAATTAATAACCTGACTGATCAATGTCCAGTGTATGACTATCGCAAGTAAAGTGACAAAGTGTCAGGTGATAAACTTTTGGGTTAAATTTTAAAAAAATAATAATTTATTCTGACCTTATATTTGTTCTACCAGCACCCTTTCTCTAATTTGTGCACACATCCTTTAGCAGAGTAACACCATGGAGAAGATGACGTACAATAGGTTACGTGTAGCTGTGATCGGAGCTGGGGCAGCTGGTCTCTGTGCGGCCAGACATCTTCTTTCAAACCCTCACACCTTCCAACCTCCAGTGGTGTTTGAGACGTCTGGTCAGGTAGGTGGAACCTGGGTGTACACAGAGGTGTCAGAGACTGAAACCCACCAACACTCCAGCATGTACAGAAACTTAAGGTAAGGAAAGCTTTCATGCCATGTATGACTGAGTGGCAATGACATGTTGAATGGGTTAAAGGGTCAGTCCCGTGTAAAGTGATCTAATGACAGTAACACGTTTAATGGGTAAAAGTTTTAGACTTGTGTAACGTGACCTAATACCAGTGACATGTTTAGGTCAGTTTATGTGGACTGACCCTTGTTAAGGAAAATAACATCTTAAATAACATTTAATGTAAATTATACACCCTTTCAATTGTTGTAGGACCAACCTTCCAAAAGAGATCATGGAGTTTCCTGATTTCAGCTTTGACCCATCACTTCCGTCTTTCATCCATCACAGTGAAGTTTTACGGTACCTGGAAGAATACACAGACAACTTCAACATACGGCCACACATAAGGGTAAGACATTTATTGGCCCGATTCTGACATCTGGTCCAGGTAAATCTTATATTGATACATATTATTCAGACATAACTTAATACCTATGGGACTTGCTGTAGCGGAGCTCCCTTTACACCAGCTGGGTACCTCCGCCAAGGATCACTTCCTAGCTGGAACCGAGAAAACCTCAGTGCTTCTGCACCAGTCACTGTGGCTTGACTGGAGTCCTCTTGGAGCCTCTCCGTCCTGGAATAGTATAGGGACTGGTCCACACACAGTCCTGGGAGCTATATTTCCCCCGCTGAATCCTCCATGAGCTGGACCAGTGATTATAGCCCTTCCCATCTCAGTAACTAGACGACACATAGTTCTGGGAGTACAACTGCTTTTAATGAGCCAAACTTGGCCTTCTATGCACAGATCCCATAAGGGTGTGTCTAAACAATACAACACAAGCCCCTCCCAGGAATCTCTGTGCCAGGGAGAGAATTGAGTTAAAGACCGGTAAGCTAATTATCTCCCAGGAACAGAGAGCCAGGAACAGAGAGCCAAACACAAAAATATAAAAACATAAAACATAATGTACAGTAACCCCACATGTCCTACATCCCCAAACAGCCCTGATCTGAGTGCCCAAGTTGTCCAAATAGCGCTCAAATTCATGCAGTGTAGGGGAAACGCCACCGTGTCAAAGTTATGACCAGCTGCACACGTGGTCATATGCCCAAAATAGTTCCAGGGTGTTTGGTGCTTTTATCGGTCAAATTTCGAAAGCTCCGCCGGGCGAAATGCAGGGTGCTCTGCCTGGCTCTCAGAGAGCATTTGTTCCCCTTAGTCTCAGGCACCTTCCCTCCGCAAAGCGCTCTCCTGGCGGGTCGCAAAGTGGTCAAAACCCCACAAGTTGCCCGGGAACTGCAAGGTCACCTCATGCTGAAATTAGTTCCATACTGGTCACGGCTAAATACCGCTGAGGACCATTCGTGGAGTTATTCTTGTGAATGGCCGCCAGGAAGCTAGTGTTCGGTTCAATTCCAGAGAAGGGAAAGTGCCAAACCAGGGGCACCGAGGGTAAGCTGCTATTGACAGCTGGGCAGCATCACTCCCGAACAGGGTCTCCGGCCTGGACCATAGGTGGGCAGAAGCCCAGCTTCCACACTCCTACAGGAGTCCTCGACAAACGTTCGTATAAAAGAACATTTGACACACATGCCAATTTTGTCTTATAATGTTACCTCTTTCTGAGCTGCAAATATGCAGGATCTGGTACATTTAGAACTGATCATTATATAATCTCAGTACCACTAGAAGACTTGGTAGAGAGAAAGCAATGCATGAAAAGCAGCTCTTGAATTCATATGGGGTATATTGAGCTATGAATTGGAAAATCGGCAAACTTCACCCCGCTAATTTACAGATATTGTACATTAGGGGGTATGAATTTAGGATGGTAGGTCGTAGGACAGGAACCAACCAGTAATTCAATCTTTGCTAGGATATAAAAACACCCCAGACATGAATCCAAAAATTATTTGGTAATTCCATCCTAAAGCCCCACCCCGGTCCCTCACAAAACTCCACTCCATAGCACATTTACAATTACTTACAGACACACACAGACACAGCTGGGCAGACACACATAGACTGGCACACACAGGCACAGATCGGAAAACACAGGCACAGACAGGCATAGACTGACACAGACAGATAGTTACAAACACACAGACACATACACACAGAGACAAATAGATAGGCATAGACAGACACACAGACAAGCACACTCAGACATAGAAAAAGGCATAAAGGACAGTAATACCTTCAAGGCAATGTGTTCAGGACCTAGTTCACTTTTATATGGCTTGATTGGTGCAATTTGATATAATAATTATGTCGACATCTGAGACAATTGATAGTAGCAGAGAGAAAATATGTGTGGTGTGTATACCTTTAAATCTGCTAAAGGCAGATTCTATCTGTTACACACCAAATATTCTGCTTAATATAAAGCAACTACTTATTACAGAATAACAACATCAGGAACATCAAGAGTAGTTATCTGTATGGTATTATTATACACACAATTATATATGGTGTGTTTAGCTTTAAATCATCTGGTGGCACACTAAATGGTGCAAAAAGCAATGTTTAACTTACAATAGAGAGATATATAAAACACTTAATCTCTATACTTAAAATCAAATTAAAACAAGTTAATGAAAATTCCAAAAAAACACTATAAGAAAAAGTATTAAAAATGATGTAAAAAGTTATTCGTAATGTATTCAAAGAGTAAATAAAAGAATAGTTAAAAATATATAAAATATAATAAAGGTAAAAAGTACAAAAAATGAGAGCCAGGAACGGTCCACAAGTCAATTGCCAGCACAAATATTGTTCATATACCCTGATATCCACTGTAACTAATGAGGATTACATTGGATACTGTGTGTCAGGACTGAATGATTGTACTTGCCGGCTGCTGCGAGGTTGGCGTGCGTCCCAAACCTCACTTTGATTGTCAGATACCGGCAGTCCGTCGGTCCCCAGATCGTGAAAACTATGCGGGGAAAGAAGCCGTTCTTTCTGCTGGCAGCTGGCTGTTCTTCGTATCCTGCTCACTCTCAATCTGTTAGCCTGTCTTACGCGTTTCGTGGGTGTCAGCCCCACTTCCTCAGAGACATGATGGAATTCTGTCTGGATGTACATCTTATATACAAAACTAATAAATGAGCAAATAAACCGATATTCTACATGTGTGGCTTGTTGAATAAACATAATGATACTATTGGAATTAATACATATACATTAGTTGGAAACATCATAAAAATTAAAACTTACAAAAAAGTTTATAAACTAAATACAATGAAAATTTATACATTGAGAATTGTTAGTTTAGTGGTATGGAATTGATAAGCTATTTAAAATAAAAAATTAAGTTGGAATGGAAGTTTAAAATAAACAGATGTTTAGAAGTAAATATATATACCCTTAAAAATCACTATTTGGGGATATTTAAAATGGTGAATTGTAATCATATGTGAAAATATATAAAAATATGAGAGACATCTCTCATATTTTTATATATTTTCACATATGATTACAATGATTTTGAATTGCTGAATTTCACAAATAGCAATTTTCGTCAAATATTTATTAACGTTTTAAAATAATATAATATATCATACAACATTGGCATATACATAATGACTTATAAACCATTGTCAAAACTAAACAAGCAAATAGCAATTTTAACAGCAATTAATGCGTTAACCTTGTTCGCTGCTCTAGGGCAGTGATGGCGAACCTTTTTGAGCCCGAGCGCCCAAACCGCAATACATGCCAACTTTTTTTCCTCAAAGTGCCAACACGGCAATTAAACCTGAATACTGAGGTTTAAGTGTAGAAAAAAACTACTCGTACAGTTGTCCGAACTAATTAACAACTTTTGTTTTAAAAGAAGAACACAACAGAGAGTTCAATGATACAAATTTTAAATAATGATATAAATAGATAAAATTAAGCTTATATTTATTAGTATCTCCAACAAATGCAATACATACACACAGACAGCTGAACACATTCACACACCGGCTGCTAAATTCATACACACACCGTCCGCTAAATACATACACACACCGACTGCTAAATACATTTACACACCGGCTGCTAAATACATACACACTGTCCGCTAAATACATACACACACACACGGTCCGCTAAATACATACACACCGTCCGCTAAATACACATACAGACAGATTGCTGAATACACATACAGACAGACAGCTGAATACACACAGACTGCTAAATACATACACTGCTGAATACACACACACAGTCTTCTGAATACATACACTGCTGAGTACACACACACTGCTGAGTACACACTCACAGACTGCTGAGTACATACACTCACAGACTGCTGAATACACACACACTGAGTATACAGAGACTGCTGAATACATACACACACACACACACAGACGGCTGAGTATACACAAAGACTGCTGAATACATACACTGCTGAATACACACACACAGTTTGCTGAATACATACACTGCTGAGTACACACACACACAAACACACAGACTTCTCTATATATCCACACACACTGCTGAGTACACACACACTGCTGAATACATACACACACAGACTGCTGAATACGTACACTGCTGAAAACACACACAGAGTCTGCTGAATACATACACTGCTGAGTACACACACACACACAGACTGCTGAATACATACACACACACTGCTGAATGCACACACACACACACACACACACACACACACACACAGACTGCTGAATACATACACACACACTGCTGAATGCACACACACACACACACAGACTGCTGAATACACACACACACACAGACTGCTGAATACACCCACAAAGACTGCTGAGTACACACAGACTGCTGAATACACGCACTGCTGAGTACACACAGTCTGCTGAATACATACACACACACAGACTGCTGAATACATACACACAGACAGACTGCTGAATACACACACAGACTGCTGAATACACACACACACACATACTGCTGAATACATACACTGCTGAATACACACACACACAGTCTGCTGAATACATACACTGCTTAGTACACACACAGACTGCTGAGTACATACACACAATCTGCTGAATACATACACACTCACACACACAGACTGCTGAATACACACACTCACAGACTGCTGAGTACACACACACACAGACTGTTGAATATACGCACACACAGACTGCTGAATACACACACACACAGAGACTGCTGAGTACACACAGTCTGCTGAATACATACAGACACAGACTGCTGAATACACACATACATACTGCATTGAGGGGTGCAGTGTATGTGTTTGTGTGTAAGGGTGTGGAGTGCTGTGTGTGTGTCTGAGGGGTACTGTGTGTAGGGGTGCTGTGTTGGGGGTTAGGGGTGCTGTGTGGGGGGGGTAAGGGTGCTGTGTGGGGGGTAGGGGTGCTGCTGTGGGGTGCTGTGCTGTGTGGGGGTAGTGTGCTGTGGGGGTGGGTAGGGTGCTGTGTGGGGTAGGGGTGCTGTGGGGGGAGGTACTGTGTGGGAGGGGTAGGGGTGCTGTGTAGGGGTAGAGGGTCTGTGTAGGGGTGCTGTGTATGGGGTAGGGGTGCTGTGTAGGGGGTAGGGGTGCTGTGCTGTGTGGGGTAGGGGTAAAGATACATAAAAAAAAAAAAAGTTATATTAATTCTGTATCCCCTCTCCCTTCCTCTTACCCTTGGTGAAGGAGGGGGGACACAGCCATCCTTGGTGGTCCGGTGGTGGTAAGTATTGTAGGAAGCAGCTCTCCTATCCTCCCGCGCGATGCTGTGTGGAGCGTTGCCATGGTAACGCGTGGCAACACTCCACACAGCTTGCTCGCAGGTGGATAGGAGAGCTGCTTCCTAGAGCCCTCCCCCTGCCTCCCGATCTGGAAGCAGAGTAGGTGCCTGCCGTTTCGGGCAGGCAGCTGCCTACTCTGCAGACAGCCAGCGGCCCCCTCTCCCGGCGACGTAAGGCCGCGTGCCAACAGAGAGGGCCTGGCGTGCCATAGGTTCGCCATCACTGCTCTAGGGGTAATTGTACACACCAATTACACCATTTGTAATATGGCTATGCATATGTTTAGATATCTCAAGGCCACACAGGGTACATTTTGATCAGTCTACTGGCACTGAAAGAGCACCTGTCATGGTAACCATAGCTTTGTCTTATATGTATATATATATTTAATGACCTTTACTGCTCTGGACCCACCCTACCTGTCAGTCATATCCTAGGCATTAGCCCTGAGTGCTCAACCTACCTTGCCTGTTGCTGCAGTTTCACTCGGAGCAATCACATCATCAGGCAACTTAGGTTGAGCAGAACTAGATTTGATCCAATATGGCTGCTCAGCCAGATGAAAAAAAAAAAGTGAAATTCTCTCAAGAAAATCAATATACGATGTTTAAAAGAATATAATAAAAAAATGTAATAAATAAATGAGAAGTGAAAATTTGCTGACCGTTGTACTTTAAATGAATAACCCATGTGGCCCAGTCTTATTTATTGTTTACATATAGTTGCAGGAAGGGTTGAGTGGTTGCAAGATCTGTTCAGGGTCTTATAATATTTTCTTCTTTTTGTTATAGTTTAATTGCAGCGTGACTGAAGTCTCTCCTGTATTGAAGGATGGGGAGCATGGTCAGGTGCCATGGGAAGTGTCATCTCACACTCAGGGAAGCCCTCACCCTGTGACCGAGAGGTTTGATGCAGTTATGGTGTGTGCAGGGTAAGAATTGTTCATCTCTCTAATCTGTGTTTACGTCTGTGTGATTCCTGTGTCTGTGTGTCTGTCTGTGTCTGTCTGTCCCTGGGGTCCAGTGGTGGCTCAGGCTGATGGGAGTCAGAGATCCCACTCTGACCACCTCCTCTCCTTCATCCCGCATGGCTCCTGGTGTAAGCTGGGAGGAGTGACCGGGGCCGTCAATTCCTCCAAGCTCTGACATCATCAGAGGGGGCCCAGTCGTGCTGTTAAAGCCCCCTGGAAATTTATTGCCATCGGTTGGCACCTGTCTTGCAAAGATGAGCTGAAATTGAGAAATCATTGGGAAGTCCACAGAAAGAAAGAAGGGAAGGGCTTGCAGTGACTGTAGATACTAGATTTGCATCTATTGGAAGCCAAGATTTCATACAGCTCCAAAGAAAACACGCAAAACAAATCTTTGGAGTATATCTATTTAATTGGCTTATTCATTAATGGTACTCTACATATACACAGTAGTGTATTTTGGTTTTGTGCTGCTCTAGGCCTTCCAGTCAAGGCTGCACCCCTTCCTGTTTAAGACTAACATGCATGTCTGACCAGCACACACTCAATGACAGATGCACAGTGATTGGCACCCACCAGTGTTGTACTAATGGGGGGGGGTGGTCCTCCCTGGGTGCCACAAGGTGGGGAGTACCACCAAGGCTGGCCAGGCTTGGGGTTCTGTGAGCTGCGTGGCTGCACAGGGTGCCATAGCAGCAGTGGTGCCGGGCAGCCGACACAGCTCACACACAGGGGCCGGGAGCAGAAAAACTTTTTAGAGAGTTGGGGGCGGAGCCAAATCGGACATGAGATGGAGCCAAATTGGCTGCAGGGTGGAGCTAAAGTCGGCCTCCACCCACTGCAGCTACTGCTGCACACAGAGGGGAAGCAGGAAGAAGTCCCTGCTTCCTCAACTACTACACACCAGGGACTTCAGTGACTCCACTCCTTCTCCAGTAAGTGAGAGTGTGTGCTGTGTGTGTAACGATTATGTCTCTATGTGACTGCGAGTGTGTGTCTGTGTGTGACTGTGTGTGTGTAACTGTCTTCCTGTGACTGTATGTGTAACTGTCTGCTTGTGACTGTATGTGACTATCTTCCTGTGACTGTCTGCCTGTGACTGACTGCCTGTGACTGTGTGTGTGACTGTCTGCCTTAACAGTGTGTGTGATTTACTGCCTGTGACTGTCTGCCTGTGACTGCGTGTACGACTCTCTGCCTGTGACTGCGTGTACGACTGTCTGCCTGTGACTGTCTACCTGTGACTGTGTGTGACTGTCTACCAGTGACTGTGTGTGTGTAACTGTCAGCGAATGTGTGTGTGACTGTCTGCCTTGACAGTGTGTGTGATTTACTGCCTGTGACTGCGTGCTTGACTCTCTGCCTGTGATTGTGTGTACGACTCTGCCTGTGACTGCGTGTACAACTGTTTGCCTGTAACTGTCTTCCTGTGACTGTGTGTGTTACTGTCTTCCTGTAACTGTGTGTGTGACTGTCTGCCAGCAACTGAGTGTGTGACTGCCTGTAACTGTGTGTGTGTAACTGTCTGCCTATGACCGCGACTGTTTGCCTCTGGCAGTGTGTGACGGTCTATAACTGTGTGTGTGACTGTCTACCTGTGACTATATGTGTGACTGCATATCACAGTGTGTATGATACTGCCTGTAGCTGTGTGTGTAACTGAGTTTGACTGTGTGCGATTGACTATGTGCCTGGGACTGTGTGAATGTGGCAGTACTTAACAGTATATGTGTATAACTGTGTGCATCTGACTGCAGTGAGCCGGCAGCTGGGATATGACGTCATCCCGGCATCGGCGTAATAACAGTGCACGTGAGGGACCTGTGCATGAAAAGCACAGAGATCCCAGCAGCAACCACGAGCCCTCCACTCCAGCCCTCCCAGAGCAAGGCAGGAAGGTTGGATGAACCCCTTATTAAATATATGTATGTGATGATTGTGTGTGTGTACATCTAAGTATATGTGTATGTGATTGTGTGTATGTGATTGTATGTGTGTGGGTCTGTGATTATGTGTGTGAACGTGTGTGCATCTCTGTGGTTAAGTGTGTGTGTTGTGATTATGTATGTGATTGTGTGTGTGTGTAGGTCTGGGATTGTGTGTGTGTGTGTGTGTATGTATGTATATATATATATATATATATATATATACACATACACACACACACAGAGACATACATCTGTTGTGCTATTGTGTGTGTGTGTATATAAATGTGTATGTGTTTAGTAGATAGCTCCCTTATTTGGTGTTCTTAAATATTGCAATCTCACATAAGGATAACAAATAAGTGAGTTATCTACTAAACAATTGAAAGATTAAAATTAAGAAAAGATACTAAATTAGGGTGCTGTTTAGCAGATAGCTTCCTTATTTGGTGTCCTTAAAGGACCACTATAGTGCCAGGAAAACATACTCGTTTTCCTGGCACTATAGTGCCCTGAGGGTGCCCCCACCCTCAGCGACCCCCTCCCGCCCGGCTCTGGAAGGGGGAAAGGGGTTTAAACTTACCTTTTTCCAGCGCTGGGCGGGAGCTCTCCTCCTCCGTCCTCCTCCTCCTGGGCTGAATGCGCCGCGCGGCAAGAGCTGCGCGCGCATTCAGCCCGTCGCATAGGAAAGCATTTACAATGCTTTCCTATGGACGCTTGTGCTCTCACTGTGAAAATCACAGTGAGAAGCACGCAAGCGCCTCTAGTGGCTGTCAATGAGACAGCCACTAGAGGATTAGGGGGAAGGCTTAACCCATTAATAAACATAGCAGTTTCTCTGAAACTGCTATGTTTATAAATAAATGGGTTAACCCTAGAAGGACCAGGCACCCAGGCCACTTCATTAAGCTGAAGTGGTCTGGGTGCCTAGAGTGGTCCTTTAATATGGCAATCCCACATAAGGATAGCAAATAGAGGAGTTAGCTAATAAACAAAGATCGAAGTTAAGAGGTGTCAGCCAGCCCACAATAAGAAATCTGGGTGGTTAATGTGCATTCTATGGAAATGTGTTGTCAGATGCCAGCATGCACAGCACAGCAAGCTGGCATCAGACAGCCAATGGCAGCATATCACCCCATCCCCTAGGAAAAAGTTTTAGTGCCCCCTCAACCCCCAAAATAGGACCTGCCCCGGGTGCCAAATGCTCCAGGTATGTCCCTAGCACACACACTGTTTAACCAACACACACTTCCACTGACACACCCACTCACTGACAGGCACACACTCTTAGATACACATACACTGACATACGCTCACTGATATACACACTTCCTCAATGATTTGATACATTCCACTGACAGACACACACTTCACACACCTTTACTGACACACACACACATTTTCTCATACACTCATAAATGATTTTTACATTTTTTTATTTTTATTTAAGTCCACCCAGCCTCTTTACCTTTGGGTTCTTTCTCTAGCATCCAGTATGGCTGCTGGCCTGTTGTTGCTTCTGGGTTGTGGGGCGGGTGGTCAATGGAGGCGGCGGCAGGGCCGTCCCAAGACATTGTACTGCCTGGATCCAAGTATGAAATGCTGCTTCCCACCCTCCCCCCCCCAAAAAAAAACATTTCTACAATGGTAGTGTCTCCATGGGCTTGTGCTTGGGATGAAGTGTGTGTCTGTGTGTGTGCTGGGGATGTAGTATGTGTCTGTGTGTGTGCTGGGGATGTAGTATGTGTCTGTGTGTGTGCTGGGGATGTAGTATGTGTCTGTGTGCGTGCTGGGGATGTAGTATGTGTCTGTGTGCGTGCTGGGGATGTAGTATGTGTCTGTATGTTCTGGGGATGTAGCGTGTGTCTGTGTGTATGCTGGGGATGTACCTTGTGTCTATGTGTGCACTGCAGCCAATACACTTACCTATACACGTTGTCTGTGTATATGCATGTGTGTCAGTGATTGTATCTGTTTGTCTATGTTTCTGCATGTGTGGCAGTGTTTGTGTGTCTGTATATCTGCATGTGTATCAGTGTGTCTGTGCAACTGAATGTGTGTCAGTATATGTATCAAAAGCTGACACACATGCAGATGCTGATACATACAGATGTACAGACACACTGATACGCCTACAGATACACAGACATAGAGACACTGACACATGCAGATACACAGAAATACAGATATACACACTAGAAACACAGATACACATTACACACATACAGATACACACCACACACAATACACACTACACAGAGACTAACATACATACAAACACAGAAACCCACACTACACATACACAGAAACACACACATTACACTCATACAAACAGATACACACACTACACATACACAGATACACACATACAAACACACATTAAAAAAATGAAGCCATCCAGCAGATTCTTACCTTCTGGTGGAAGTTGGGGGCCTGCTCTCCCTATCTGGCCCCATCCTCGCTGCTTCCTCCTCCTCCTCTAGTGCGCCTGTGTGAGTGAGATGGGAGTAAGTGATATGCTGTCACTTCCTCCCAGCTATCTGTGCACGACCGGGCCCCTCATTGCATATGTCCATCTGGTGGCCCTAAAGGCATGTGCCACCCGATTGACCCTCACACAGGTTTCCAACTCATGTGTACCTCTCATCCAGCAGCTCTCGTCAGTGAACAAGGCTCAGAGTTGCTTCTCTGCACAAGACAATACAGGTAGCTGCCAGACAGCTGCTCTATGTAGAATACTCAGGGAACACAGCAGCTCATACTGGAGGAATGGTAAGAGGTGTGAAGCATAAGTAGCATAATTCCAATAGACACTGACATCGTTATGCTGAACGAAGTTATGTTTTTTTGCATTAAGGGCACAGCTCAGAAGTAAAAGGCAGCATGATGACAATTTTCCATCATGTATCCTTAATGGGTTAAAATGTGCTACTTGGAACATTTCTTTATTTTTTAAATCTTCAGATACTATTTTTCTGACTTGAGTTTCCTCAATCTTTCTGCAGGCACTACTCTCTTCCGTATATTCCAGACATCCCAGGGATTGACACCTTCCAAGGTGAGACATTAATGACTTGAGAGGTTTATATAGTCAGATTAAGGATTGTAAATTGCTGAGAAGAGTGATTGCTGGTGGAAGGTGAGAGAAAAGCTATTCTACAAAATTGGAGATGAGATAATTTGTGTCCTTTGTTCCTTCAGGTAAACTGCTGCACAGTCATTTTTACCGCTATCCAGAAATGTTTGCCTCTCATTCAGTGGTCCTGTTGGGTTGTGGCCCTTCTGGAGTGGATATTGCCCTTGAGTTGGCTCCTTATGCACAAAATGTCACCCTATGCCATCGTGGCGCAGCCCTGCAGTGGACTCCTCCAAAAGGTGTAACTCTGGCACCACCAGTGGTCGGTGCCACTCCACATAATCTAATCTGTGAGGATGGAACTCAACTGGAAGCTGATACTCTGATTTTCTGTACTGGATATAAGTATTATTATCCATTTCTTGAACCACAGAACAAACCAAGGAATCTGAAAGAAGCAGAAGAAAATGGAGAGACTGCAGTTACAAAGGGTCCTGTGCCGAATGCTGTAGTAGAAAGAATTGGATTGCTGGTGGAAACTCGAAAAGTACTGTCAGGAAGTGCTGAACTGCTGCAATCGAAAGATGAGAAGGAGTTTTGTGATAAAAATACCAATTGGTTGATGAACGATGAAGTGGTGGTTCCGGATGAAGGTCAAGGCCACCTTCCTCTACTTTACAAACACCTTATCCATGCCCTCTACCCCACCATGTGCTTCATAGGCGCATGTAAGATAGTGATACCGTTTCCTCTCTTTCACTGCCAGGTTCTCTTTTTTTTGGCAGTGCTGGAAGGGAAATGTCCTCTACCTTCTCCAAACCAAATGCTTTTGGAATCTCATGAGGAATTAAAGAATCACCTGAGTTTGGGATTGCCCCTTAAATATCTCCATCGTCTTGAAATAGGTCAGTGGGAGTATAATAACTGGCTTGCGGAGACAGCTGGATTTGAGCCATTGCCTCCGGTAAAGAAGAAGATGTATGAGACTTGTAGGCGATTTAGGAGCATAAACCCTACGTTATATCGTGGTTTCAAATTTGAAGTTTTGAGCAAAGAGGAATGTAGAGTAATCTCTGCCGAATGTAAGGGCATGCAAGTATGATGGAGGAGCTACTTTCATCTCTTGATGATGCATCTCAGAACTACAATTTTAATTCTTATTTATGCTACGAATGTAACATTCAAAAGGTTATCATTTCAATATTGCTTGTTCTAATTAACTTTAAGAATGTTACGCAAAGTTATCCTCAGAACCCACCAGCAGGCCAGTAAATTAGCTGTTCTATCATTACACAGCAGTCTCCAAGAAAGTGACTGAGCCACAGACTAAAGGGACCCTTCAATGGTTCGATTTATCAACACTTTAGATTGTTCTTTTAACATTTTGAATTGATCATAGATTGCTGAATATGTGGGTTTTCCCAGAGACACGATCCATCTCTTGTGCTTATGTTTGTACAGGAACTAGCTAAGCATCCTAGCCAGTCACTTGTCTCCTATTTGAGAGAGGATTAGTGTGAGCAGGATGAAGTGTCTTCTCACTAAACTCGTATTGGAGGCATTTATATCACATCATGGACTGAGAATTCATTTATTAAAATGAATGATAACCTAGGCTTGCATTCATAATTTTTAATCAATATAATCATGGATGTGCTGCACCTTCCACAGATTCTTAGTGGGAACCATTAAAGAGACGCTACACAAACTACATCAGCAAGCTAAAACGATATATGTGTAAAGAGTGTCTCCTTTATTTTTTAACCAGAAAATGCAGGTTTCAATAGAAATTGTCACTTTTATAAATTAAACATGTTACACCCCCTGACTTTCAATCAGACAATATGTCCCTTAACTTCCTGGTTTAGTTAGCACAATAGAGCTAAACTCAAGTGGCAGCAATTGGTCAGAGCACCTGCCTTGCAAAGACTTTATATTGAGCTGCATTGGGAAGTCTGTGATTGGACAGCTACAGAAAGTCTGGTCTGAGCTAGAAGAAGAGGGATTGCAAAGGCTGCAGACATGAGATCTGCAGACTTTGCAAGCTGTTCTAGGTATACCCTCAATTAAGAAATGCATACATGCTGTCAGTGAGAGTATATCTAGTAACAGGGCCACCATCAGGTGAACGTATATACACACACACAACCTTGGGGATTGGAGATCAAAGACCTCCCTCCCTGCGTCATTGCACACTTTCACAGCTGGAGAGGGAGCCCGGGATGCTGTGTGTCTGCTGCTCCCTCTCTCGTGAGCCCGTCACGAGGCCGTCAGAAGGTTACGAGCAAAGTCTAGGCATCCAGCAGGAGCAAGTAGGAACCTCTCAGTACCACCGGCCCTCATGGAAAGTAGTGTCCTCCTCACTGGCCAGAGGATAGAAAAAAAAAAAGGAACTGGGGGCATACCAGATACATTGATGGTGCTGCCATTCCTGAAAAATGCATGTTGCGGGTGTGCCCAAATTTCTAATTTTGTCTTTACTATGTAAGTTTAGGGCCCAAACTAGATCCCTGATAACCGTAATTAAAGTTGGAGCTCCCTCTGTTGGTGAAAAATAATATAGATAGCAACAACATTGATAATAGGAATTAAGGTCAGAGCTCCCTCTGTTGGTGAAAAATAATATATACAGCAACAACATTGATAATAGGAATTAAGGTCAGAGCTCCCTCTGATGGTGAAAAATAATATAGATAGCAACAACATTGATAATAGGAATTAAGGTCAGAGCTCCCTCTGATGGTGAAAAATAATATAGATAGCAACAACATTGATAGCCGGTAAGGTTGGAGCTCCCTCTGATGGTGAAAAATAATATATACAGCAACAACATTGATAGCTGCAATTGAAGCAGGCAGTCCTTCTGCTTAAAGGGACTCTGCAGTGCTACAGAACCCTGCAGTGTCCCTCCCCCCATCCCATGTTGATGAAAGGGTTAAAAGCCCTTCAGTGACTTACCTGAGTCCAGCACAGATGTCCCTCGGCACTGAGTGAAGCTCCACCCACACTCCTTCCCTGCTGACGTCAGCCGGCGGGGGAGACCTAATGCGCATGCACGCATTAAACTTCCCCATAGGAAAGCATTACTCAATGCTTTCCTATGGGGATTCCGGCGACGCTGGAGGTCCTCATGCATAGCGTGAGGACGTCCAGCTTTATTTAAAAAACTATTTGTGTTCTAAGAACACAGAAATCCCTCTAGTGGCTGTCTGATAGACAGCCACTAGAGGAGGACTTAACCCTGCAAGGTAATTATTGCAGTTTATAAAACTGCAATAATTACCCTTGCAGGGTTAAGGATGGTGGGAGTTGGCACCCAGACCACTCCAATGGGTGGAAGTGTTCTGGGTGCCAGAAGTGTCCCTTTAAAGAAAATAATATGAACTTATTGTGCAAAAAGCCATTTATTTGAAGAAACCTCACCAAGGCTTTATTGAAATTTACACACACTTTTTTGGTTTTCGTATCTGTGTATCTTATTTCCTGTGTTCATTTTCTAAAATCTTTTTAAGAAAAACCAATAAGAAAAGAAATTAAACTTAATTTATATGTTATATTCTCCACTTTTGGCTGTGATTTCTGCTACATTGGTGAAGCGAAGTTAAGGGTTAGAGCCCATTCTCTCTGTGGGAAAAAAAAATCAATTTGTTTTGGACACTGGATGTCTTTAAAAATCTGACTATCTATATATTCAATTTGGGAGCCACAGATACCAAGCCGAGAAATATGTGGACATGAGGTGATAAAACATTGTCTAAATCAGGGGTGCCCAATAGGAAGATCCCCAGACATTTTAAAATTACAACTTCCACAACGCCTTGTCATTCTAAAGGCATGCAAAGCATCATGGGAGTTGTAGTTTTACAACGTATGAAGAGCTACCTTTTGGGCACCCCTTATATAAATCAAATGGGTAAAAGGTAATTTTAAAATATATATAATTTTTTGTTTGCCTATTAGTTAGAGCAGCAGACATGGAACTATTGATAGTGTAACTAGGGCCACAGTGGGTCAGTGACATTTGTCACTCTTCTAGACACCATGGGGCCCTTCCTGGCCACACTGGCACGGTTTCTGAAAGTTTACGAAATGGAAGTTCACGCCACAAAATAGGAGGAGGAGGCAGGGCGGCTTACTGCGGCCCATGGGAGCTGGATTCTGAGTCAAGGTGAATGTATCTATGTGTGGGCATTCGTGTTTATACATCTGCATGCCTCAGTGTTTGCAGATCTGTCTATGTGTTGGTGTTTGAATGCACATGCGTATTCACATTTACCCGCACACATGCACATTACCATCCACAGAAACACACCAACACTGCAGACAAACACACCACTGCATTCAAAATCCAACACAACAAAGAATTCTCAGCACCTTGCCCCTTTCTTTCTCAACCACACCTGGATCATGCCTTTCCTACCCTTCAGAATTTCTCCCAGGCTACTGAACAAGAGTTTCCATACCCCTTATTGTCTCAGAGATATCTTTGCCAGAAACTCAAGGAAGCAGGGTAAAAAATTAGTGTAGGACTCACCTGAGAGGTTTGCTTTGACGTGGTAGGTGGGATAAACTCTCTCATGGCCATTGGAGAAACTAAATAACCTCCATTTGTTTTAACATACATAGAGATTTGGAAAGAGCGCAGGTAACTTTTTTCTTTGGTTTTTACTGTATGTATTGGGGCTGATGTGTACTATAGTCGTTGCTGCCGCTTCCGGAGTAATGGGAGTTTGAGCATTGGACTTGTTTTTTTTGTATTTGTACTGAACAAGAGGTGGCTGCGTGTAGCGGAGTAGTAGTATTATCCACGGTATCTCCATTGGTAGACAGAGTGAAGCAGGTAAAAAGTAGGCAAAATGCAGGTAGCGTATTTATAATCCCCTTCTCCCAAGAACTAGACGACACATAGCTTAGAGGTCAACTGAGGTTTTAATCACAGGTCACAGTATTTATGCGGTTACAAATGTAAGGGGTTTCCCAAGTCACATTACAGGGGTTGTCCAGTAGTGGACTACATGGGGGACTGAGCTTACAGGCTGATTACCCATCATACACTGCTGTACCAGAGAGATAATTACCACAGAATGCATTGTTAATGGGATTATCTCTTGGTACAGAAAAATACAGTTTATACAAAAAATCTATAGCTGACATAATATTCCTGCTATGCAGCTAATAAACCCCTTATTACGTAGCTGGGACCTGAGGGCATTATTGAGGAAACTTGCGCTCAGATCCCAGCACAAATAACCGAACACCGTTCATTTTACATGATCAGGACCACTTGGATAAAAACAGTTGGGAATGAGATTCCCGAAAGAATAAAACTCCCGAACGGCTTGGAAGTTCAGCGGGGCTTATGTTGCCGAGTAGCCGAATATAGTTCCAGGCACTCGACGACAAAACCCCGCTGGGTCTCCGAGAACAAAGATGGCCGCCGCCACGTGTTCGGTACACGAACGGCGGCCACCCGCAACATACATTAATTGGGCACGGATACAATGTTGCAAAGTACCTAATTAGAGACACACGACCTGCTGGGGGTGGTCTCCCATTTGGTACTTTGCTTGTTTCACGAACATTGCGGAGATTCACTGTTCGTGGATAACCAAGCTGAATGCTAGCGGTATTCGTGTGCTATAACACATGAATGCTTCATACGTGGATCTTTTAATCGGGGAAACAGACAATACGGTAAATAGCAGAAAACATACAATTACACTCAGTAATTGGCTAGGTTTCCTACAATGCTCCCCCAGCTTCTTGAGGGCCCACACCACGGCCAGGCATTCATTTTCGATGGCGGCATAGCTTACTTCCCTGGGCAAAAGTTTTCTGCTTAAGTAAGCTACGGGATGCCCGCCACCATCTGCTCCAACTTGGCTCTGTACTGCTCCCAATCCAAACATAGAAGCGTCTGTATGGACGAGAAAGCGTTTAGTTGGATCAGGAGCAGCAAGTACAGGTTCGTTAACAAGAGCAGTTTTTAGTTGTTGGAATGCCCATTCACACTCTGGGGCCCATACTACTAACTCAGGGAGGCTTTCGCGGGTTAAATCGGTGAGGGGTTTCGCCACGGTGCTGTAATCTGGCACAAAATTTCAATAGTACCCTGCGGTACCTAAGAACCTGGGTTTTGGTACGGGGTGTTGGCCATTTGGCTGCGGCCTCTATTTTGGCAGGTTCTGGCTTTTGCTGGCCGCTTCCTACCCGGTGTCCTAAATACTGAACTTCGGCCATCCCTATATGGCACTTACTGGGTTTAAGGGTTAGCACTGCCTCTCTAATGCGATCTAGTACTACATGGCTCAAATGGTCGGTCCAGGAATAGCTAAAGATCGCTATGTCGTCTAGATATGCGCATGCGTATTCCTGAAACCCATCTAATAGCCGGTCCACCATCCTCTGGAAGGTAGCCGGAGCATTTTTCATCCCGAAGGGCATGACCTTAAACTAGTGCAGGCCAAACAGGGTGACAAATACCGACTTAGGGATGGCGTACTCGGCTAAAGGAATTTGCCAGTACCCTTTACAAAGATCTATCGTGGTGAGGTACTGGCCCCTGGCCATCTTGTCTAAGAGCTTGTCTATCCGGGGCATCGGGTAGGCATTAGATACTGTTTTATCATTGAGCCTTCGATAATCTACGCAGAAAAGGGTAGTTCCATCCTGCTTCGGCACTAGTACTACTGGGGAAGCCCATGGGCTATCCGAATGTAACCCCTATTTATAACATTTCCTCAATCTCCTTACATACAGGGAGTGCAGAATTATTAGGCAAATGAGTATTTTGACCACACCATCCTCTTTATGCATGTTGTCTTACTCCAAGCTGTATAGGCTCGAAAGCCTACTACCAATTAAGCATATTAGGTGATGTGCATCTCTGTAATGAGAAGGGGTGTGGTCTAATGACATCAACACCCTATATCAGGTGTGCATAATTATTAGGCAACTTCCTTTCCTTTGGCAAAATGGGTCAAAAGAAGGACTTGACAGGCTCAGAAAAGTCAAAAATAGTGAGATATCTTGCAGAGGGATGCAGCACTCTTAAAATTGCAAAGCTTCTGAAGCGTGATCATCGAACAATCAAGCGTTTCATTCAAAATAGTCAACAGGGTCGCAAGAAGCGTGTGGAAAAACCAAGGCGCAAAATAACTGCCCATGAACTGAGAAAAGTCAAGCGTGCAGCTGCCACGATGCCACTTGCCACCAGTTTGGCCATATTTCAGAGCTGCAACATCACTGGAGTGCCCAAAAGCACAAGGTGTGCAATACTCAGAGACATGGCCAAGGTAAGAAAGGCTGAAAGACGACCACCACTGAACAAGACACACAAGCTGAAACGTCAAGACTGGGCCAAGAAATATCTCAAGACTGATTTTTCTAAGGTTTTATGGACTGATGAAATGAGAGTGAGTCTTGATGGGCCAGATGGATGGGCCCGTGGCTGGATTGGTAAAGGGCAGAGAGCTCCAGTCCGACTCAGACGCCAGCAAGGTGGAGGTGGAGTACTGGTTTGGGCTGGTATCATCAAAGATGAGCTTGTGGGGCCTTTTCGGGTTGAGGATGGAGTCAAGCTCAACTCCCAGTCCTACTGCCAGTTCCTGGAAGACACCTTCTTCAAGCAGTGGTACAGGAAGAAGTCTGCATCCTTCAAGAAAAACATGATTTTCATGCAGGACAATGCTCCATCACACGCGTCCAAGTACTCCACAGCGTGGCTGGCAAGAAAGGGTATAAAAGAAGAAAATCTAATGACATGGCCTCCTTGTTCACCTGATCTGAACCCCATTGAGAACCTGTGGTCCATCATCAAATGTGAGATTTACAAGGAGGGAAAACAGTACACCTCTCTGAACAGTGTCTGGGAGGCTGTGGTTGCTGCTGCACGCAATGTTGATGGTGAACAGATCAAAACACTGACAGAATCCATGGATGGCAGGCTTTTGAGTGTCCTTGCAAAGAAAGGTGGCTATATTGGTCACTGATTTGTTTTTGTTTTGTTTTTGAATGTCAGAAATGTATATTTGTGAATGTTGAGATGTTATATTGGTTTCACTGGTAATAATAAATAATTGAAATGGGTATATATTTGTTTTTTGTTAAGTTGCCTAATAATTATGCACAGTAATAGTCACCTGCACACACAGATATCCCCCTAACATAGCTAAAACTAAAAACAAACTAAAAACTACTTCCAAAAATATTCAGCTTTGATATTAATGAGTTTTTTGGGTTCATTGAGAACATGGTTGTTGTTCAATAATAAAATTAATCCTCAAAAATACAACTTGCCTAATAATTCTGCACTCCCTGTATATTCTCTTTTACCGACTCGGGATGCGATAAGGAGGTTGGCGGAGGGGTGTTTGTCCTGGGGTTTCTACCCTGTGGGTGGCTAATAAGAAATTGGAAAAGGTGGCCGCTTTTTCCATAATTACATTTTGGGCCTGGGTTCTGTCCTGGGAACTCAAGCACTCCCCTAGCTGTACAGCTTCCAGATCCTCATTTTTTCCTTCTCTCGCCAGGAGGTCTGGTAGCGGCAGGTTATCAGCATCCTCAGCGGCAGAGGCACAGATTGCGGTCACCTCTTCTGTGTGCTCATGGGAGGGCTTCAGCATGTTCACATGGAGCATGCGTCTGCCTCCCGCTCCAGCGCACGGGCCAATTATGTAGGTGGTATCGCAGATTTGCTCTACCACCTTGAATGGTCCCTGCCAGGAGGCCTGCAGCTTGTCACTAGGGTCGGGTCATAGGATTAGCACTTTCTGACCGACCTGAAAGCTGTGGTCCCTGGCCCCACCTATCATACCATCTGCGCTGTCGTTGTTGGGCCGCCTGGAGGTTATTACGTACCATCTGGGTTAAAGCCTTCAAGCGTTACCAGAACTCCAGTACATATGGTACAATAGGGGTACCATTAGTGGTAACCCCCCCTCCCAGTGCTCTCGGATTAAATCTAGGGGTCCCCTCACTCTCCTCCCAAACAATAATTCAAAGGGCGAGAACCCGGTGGATTCTTGTGGCACTTCCTTATAGGCGAACAGCAACTGGGGTAAAACCTCTCCCAGTCTTTCTGCGTGTCTATGAACGTCCGGATAATCTGTTTAAGTGTTCCGTTGAACCGTTCACAGAGACCGTTGGCCTGGGGGTGGTAGGGATAATTAAAGATAGATGTTACCCCACATACTTTCCAGAGCTGGTGGGTGACCTCTGCCGTGAATTGGGTACCCCTATCCGAAATAATCTCCCGTGGAAATCCCATGCGGGAGAATATTCGCATAAGGGCATCCGCTACGGTCTCGGCATGTACATTCGTTAGGGCCACTGCTTCGGGGTATCTGGTGGCGTAGTCCACTACGGTCAAGATGTACTTCTTGCCGAAGGGACTAGACTTTTTCAGCGGTCCGATTATGTCTACCGCTACTCGACTAAAAGGTTCTTCTATTATAGGTAAGGGATAGAGTTTGGCTTTATAGCGGTCTCCCCTTTTCCCTACCCTCTGGCAGGTATCGCAGGTAGTACAGTATTGTCTAATATCCTTGGAGATACCTGGCCAGAAGTTGTTCTGGGTCAGCTGATGTTTAGTTCGGCTGATCCCTAAATGACCTGACAAAGGTATGTCGTGTGCTATACACAGCAACTCCTGTCTGTACTTTCGAGGCACAATTAACGGTTTTATGGGGATGGGAATAGACCCGGCTACTACCTTCTCTGCATACTGGTATAATAACACTTTATCCCAAGCATATCTTTCTCCTTCTAAGCCTGCCTGGTTCTTGTCTATTCGGTCTTTGTAAACCTGCAGGGAAGGATCTAGAGCGACCTCGCTACCAAATTCTAGAGGGGCATCCCAGGGAAGGGCAGTGTGATTATGGGTTTCATTGCTTACCTGAGCCTCAGAGTCACTGGATTGTGCCGTGGTGCGAGCCTGCTGCCTGGTGACGACTGGGTGAGCTCCCCCAAGTCATTTCCCCAAATAACATCCGCTGGCAAGTCTTGCATCATCCCCACCACCACGTTCCCTGACCCCGCTCCCCAATTCAAATGTATCTTGGCAGATTCCTCCCCCTGCAACTCGTACTGCTATACAATCCCCTGTAAGTTGGTCTTTTGGGACAAGGTGATTTCGGACCAAGGTGACGGTGGCCCCCGGAATCTGTCAGTTCTTCCATACGTTTCCCTTCTACGTGGACAACTAGTCGATGGCTTTGGCGGTTGTCGGACGCCGCTTGAGAGGGCTTAACTTCGTGGAGAGTGCCTATCTGGGTGGCTGTGGAGGGCTGGATAAATGCTCCAGTCTGGTAGCAGTGTACTGCAACCCTAGGGCCAGGTGGTTGGCCTTGGTTGGGCCATGCTGGTCATGCCCTGTTTCGGGGGCATTCTCTTTGTACATGCCCTAGTTGGTTGCAGGTGTGGCATCGGATGTGTGCCCGGGTGGGGTACCTAGGTTGGTATTGGTTGTTGGCTCCCCCCAATCGTTGGTGAGCTGGATCAGCCAAGGCAGGCCGGTGGGTGATTGGCTGGGGAAATACCTTAGGCGGTGGGCGCTGCTCTCGCCTAGTGTCTTGATGTTCATTTGCTAATTTAGCTGCGTCTTGTAAGGTACATGGTTTACGGTCCCTTACCCAGTTCTGCATCTCTGTAGATAATCTCCGGTAGAACTGTTCCAACAGCAGTAGTTGCATGATCTTGTTCTGTGTAGTTGCTTGCACCGCCTCAATCCATCCTGTGGCTGCTCGTTATAAGCGGTGTGCAAACTCAGCGTGGGAGTCCTTTTCTTGTTTTTTTCAGGTCCGGGAATTGGAGTCGGTATGCCTCAGGGGTAATGGCATACCGGACTAGGATGGCTTGTTTTACCTTCTGGTAGTCTCTGCTGTCCTCATTAGGCACGGCCCGGTAGGCGTCCGCTGCGCGGCCAGATAATTTACCGGTTTGCAGGGGTACCTGATCTTGGGGCCTGATATCATGCAGCTGGCACAGTCTTTCAAAGTCCTGCAAATATCCGTCAAGATCCCCCTCTGTGTCCGTAAAATTTTTAAAAGCTTGGTAAGGAATTTTTGGTTTTCCCTGTATCATGCTGGGTGAATGCGGTGACTCCCCTCTGGATTGCTGGTTTGGTTGGACCCCTCTGGATATGAGGTATTCTTGTACATCTACCATGATCCTTTCAAAAATCTCTGGGGTTGGTGTAGCTGGGTACAGGGCCAGACTGCTGAGTGTACACACACTGCATTGAGGGGTACAGTGTATGTGTTTGTGTGTGGGGTGATGTGTGTGTGGGGTGATGTGTGTGTGGGGTGATGTGGGGTGGTGTGTGTGGGGTGGGGGTGTGTGGGTGTGTGGGTTGATGTGTGTGTTTGTGTGGTGATGTGTGTGTTTGTGTGGGTTGATGTGTGTAGGGCAGGGGTGCTGTGTATATATCCTTCCCCCCCCACTGTTTTCTTTCCCCCATCCCACACTCAGTTTTCTCCCCTCATACCTCCCTCAGTTCCCCCCATCTCTCCCTCAGTTTTCTTCCCCCCTCCCATCTCATCTCCCTCAGTTTTATTCCCCCTTCAATTTTCTTTCTACCCCCCCATCCCTCCCTTAGTTTTCATTCACCCCCCCCACTTGTCCTTGATCTCCTACCTTGTAGCGTGGCCGAGCGCACCACGGAGCTCAGTTTCCTGTACCCGGCAGGACAGGAAGTGCTCTCTCTGTGAGCACTTCATTTCTGTCCGCCCGGGTACAGGAAACATAAGTTCCTGTACTGCGGCGCGCTCGGCCATGCTAGACAGAGTGCCTGGCAGGAGGGAGCGCTATGCGCTCACCACCTGCCGGTCACTCCGGTTTTGCGCCCGCCGGGCCAGTGCACCCTAAGGCGGCCACTTGAGACGCCTTATGGATGTGCTGGTGGAGCGCACCCTCCCTCCGGCGACCTGTGGCCGCGTGACCACAGAGGGGGCTCGGCGTGCCACCTGTGTTTAGCCATCACTGATCTAGGAGGCGATCTACCATCCATTGGATGGTGGCTGGGGCGTCCTTCATCCCGAACGGCATATCCCTGAACCGGTATAGGACGAATGGATTGCATGAATAAGCTGTGAAAGTCCGACTATATCCGTTTAGGGCTGATACACCATTGGTTTCCTGTGGGATAAAATCCAATTTTTACTGCCAACCTGATTGGTTAGTTTTGCTGTGTTTGATAATCTTGTAATGATCTCCTGTTCTAATGAGATCTCTGAATTTCAAACATTGGGGTGCCTCCACTGAGAAACCTATGGTAAATTCGCAGGGGCGTAAGATGCCATAAAAGACTATGGAATTGGTTTGTGAGTCAAATAGTTTGCTGTCTAGCATATTGAATAAGACTCTGAACCTGGGGCCATCAATAAGTTGTCGGTTAGGTGTGTACACCTGGTCTACCCGCTGAATACCCATTAGTGTATTTTTTATGGGATAAGTGGACATGAATGGTTTGTAGTCTGGGTAAAGAGTTTTATGGTATTTTACTCTGTTCGTATGAAGAAAACTGAGGGAGAGATGGGGGGGAACTGAGGGAGGTATGAGGGGAGAAAACTGAGTGTGGGATGGGGGAAAGAAAACAGTGGGTGAATCTAGTGAACAGTGTCATAGCTCTGTCATCATTTATTTCTGGTTATTGACTTTGGTTTTGTTTGACTTCCCTGTATTCTGGTATCTCTGACTTTTGGCTTTCCTTCATCGTTGTGTCTCATTCTGTGTCCCCGACCTTGGCAAGTATTCTGACTATTCTCTGGTACGTTAAGTCTGGCCATTCTAAGGCCCGGTAAGACGTTACCTTTTAGTACTAAGTGTAATATAGTTCTACATGCAGGATCAAGTAGTAATTCTGACACTGCTCTTGCCATAGTGTTCCCCACGTTAATGCGGCTGCAACGATAGGATAGATTTTAAAGAGAGCGGAAGTCTTCCTGAAAAGCTGGTAAGTTAATGGCCTCCGCAGGCCATACGTCTTTTAATCATCTGTCACCAAAAATGGTAGCGAAGCCTGTGTGTGCAGCCGCATCGGTCCAAATAACTGGGGAATCATCGGACAATGGGGGAACAAACAGATCTGCCATTCCAATTATCTAGGAACTGCTGCCATATGACTAAATTGGCTCTGGTGTTTACATCCAGGGTAATCTTGCTGAGGCTATCCAGGGCACCAAGTAGGATGCACAATAATCTAGAAAAATTATCGACCCTGCGGGATGATCCGCATGGCAAAGTTAAAAGTTCTTTCCGTGAACAAGCTCCGATCCTCATGAATTCATACACGTCATTTTTGATTCTCAGGAGCTTGTCCGCAGGGAGTCTAGCCTCTAAGAGGACTGTGTCTAACTGTATACCCAGAAATACCAGGCAAGTGGTGGGTCCTGCAGTTTTGTCTAGTGAAAGTGGAATCCCTAAGCTGGAAAACAAAGCCTGTGCCTTGATCACAACCGGACACTTGTTGACACTTGTTATGGGCAAATTCAAATATTACAAGTTTTAGATTAAAATGTATTTCTTAAACTGTGTACTTTGTCTTTAAGAGATATTGCAAACCGAGAAGGTGTTAGAAATGGAACTTATTGTTTTTCATACATGTTTCTTTAAAAAATAACCTTCAGTGCATAATATGTTTACGCCATTTTGTCCCAGATAAAATACAATAAGAATAATGCATAAACAAGCTTCAAGGCTATGCTACGACTCTTGCAGTACACAATATACTGTGGTAACCCAAAGTAGATAAAGATGTTCAGACTTTAAGATGCCATCCTGACCTAAGTCAGGAAAATTTCCATGATGTATACACCCTTTAGTTATGGCCTTGTAGTTTTGCCACGTTAAGGGAGGTCCTAAAGTGAATAAAAGTAAAAAAAAGTTACTTTTTCATAAATGAAGTACGGTGACCCTAAAATGAAGACACCTAAGGTATAAATAGGTGTACTCAGTGGTGTATCCTGGTTTTGTGCTGCCCTAGGCAGGACAAAACTCAGGCACCCCCCAACCCCCCAGCCCCCCCCACCCCCCCGCCCCCCTTCTAAATACACACACACACACATTCATTGACAGATACGCATACACTCGCTAACAGAAACACAAACACACACTAACAGACACACTCACTAACAGACACACACTCACTGACACACACTCACAGACACACACACAGTCAGACACACACACTAGCAGACACTCACACTCAGTCAGACACACACACACTGACAAACAGTCAGACACACACACTAACAGACACACACTCACTAGCAGACACACTAGCAGACACACACACAAACTCACACACACTAACAAACACACACATTAACAGACACACACTCACAGGCAAACACACTCACACTAACAGACACATACACACACTCACAGGCAAACACACACTCACTGACACACAGTCAGACACACACATACACACAGTCAGACACACACTCACTCACTAGCAGACACACGCACTCACACAGTCAGACACACACACTAACAAAACTCACACACATTAACAGACACACACTCACTGACACACACTCACTCACATTAACACATTTTTTTTTTATTCACCCCCCCCCCCCAACCCCCTTACCTTTGGGAGTGCTGGGGGGGGGGGAGGTTCATTACCTCCCTGGTGGTCCAGTGGTTGCCGGGCTGGGCGGGCAGCTGGCGAGGGAGCTCTTCCCTTGAGCGGTCTGCTCAGCTCCCTCGCGTGCCGCAGAGTGAGGCTGGGAGCCGGAAGATGACGTCATATTCCGGCTCCCAGCCTCACTCTGCGGGGCGCGAGGGAGCTGAGCAGACCGCTCAAGGGAAGAGCTCCCTCGCCGCCCGCCCGCCCGGCATGCCTGTTAGCCGCGAGGCTAACAAGGCATTTGCCCTGGGCATTTGGGGGGCGGCATTTTTTGCCGCCCCCTGGAAAATGCCGCCCAAGGCAAATGCCTTGTTTGCCTCACGGCTAATACGCCCCTGGGTGTACTTTTAAATGTTAAGGGACAGACATAGGAGAGATTTGGAGATAGACGCTCCATCTTAAAATGACAGAGAGACTGACATGATGACATGTTTAAGAGGGTATGTTAATCCATTATTGATATTTGCAAGCATTTAGTTTAATCTTATAAACTCTGCTATAAATTATTGTAATGGATTTTATATGTCTATATTTATATTTTTATATAATAAATATCTAAAAAGACAAAACTTGATTGCTTCCAAGACAATCCTTATTTTATATTGTATTCTCAATTATTTATACATGTTAAATAGAGGATCTCTTACACTAACTATATAAAATTATGGCTAAGATATCTGTATGGTTAGCCCTGCTAAGTTCTATGCTTTAAGACATTATAGTGGTAAAGGGAATCAGCCGCAGTTACAGTGTTGAGGAAGAGCCAACATAGGGTGTCCGCAAACACATCAAAGAGCATCGGGCTTTTGGCCCCAAAGATCAACCTGGTTGCAAAGTAGTAATTACCTCTCTATTTCACTCCATGTAGATGCCATAACGATGGAATAATGGGAAGTAGTTTAAATGCATTTTTCATGTCCGTCTTACTGAGCCATGCTGCCCTGCCCATCAGCAAAATGGCTAGCATGGTGTTATCTACTGAAGTGTAATGGAGAGAAAATTCAGATGAAGGAATTAAAGAATTAATGCTGGGAATGAATGAAGAATGTGGAGCGAATCGCTTTTTATTGGTGAATCTACTAGTAGCGATGCCAATCGGATTGGTGTGCCAGTTTGCAAACAGGGGATTGGAAAATGGGCCTAGCATGAAACCCTGTGTGATTTCCTGTTACAAGAGCTGATCTACAGTGTTGGGTTCGAGAAGTGCTGTGACATTCCAGTGATCCTGCAGGCAGCGTGATGATACCGGTGTGAAAACCCTGTGATCAGGAACTCCACCAAATGAGATTTTTAGGTGAAAAACCAGGTTGTCAATGTTAATCTCCGTGCCTCATTTTTTAGGGAACAACCTATTTGGGCACATTGACTTGGCGTGAGCTCGGAAGCACAAAGAACAGACGTGCAACAGATGGCAAGCGCTGAAGCCGCAACTGCCAGCATTGAAATTGTTACAGATCTGTATCTTGCCGAGGAACACTATAGGTCTGCCCCATTTATCCTTCAGACCTCGATCGGTTTGAGCCGCGAGGGTGGGGCCAGATAGGGAGAGTACGCCCCCCAACTCCAACCAGCCACAGCCAGCAAAAGGTAACTTGCTGGGTGGCTTCTTTTTTTAATGTGTGTAGTGTGTGTAATGTTTATGTGTATCTGTGTGCATCTATGTCTGGCAGTGTGTGTGTGTCTGTATCCGCAGGCGTATCCGTATCTGCAAGTGTGTCAGTTTTTGATACATATACTGACAGAGTTGCACAGACACTGATAAACATGCATATACACAGACAGTGTATAGGTAAGTATTGGCTTACCTGGCGCGCACACACGCTACATCCCCGCCCACAGACGCACTGCATCCCAAGCGCACGCCCCCACAGATGGGGGGGGGGAGAAGAAAGGGGGAAGGCCAGCATGTCATACTTGGATCCAGGCAGCACAAGGTTTTGCCTAGTACCGCACCTTAAATATTTTGAAATGAACGTTTCCACTGATAGCTGCTGATAAAGGTGGATTGTTTTTGTGCCTAAACGCACATCTGGAGATCTCTAGGTTTACTTTTGATTTTTCTTTTTAATGAGGTGAGAGATTAGTGATAGGGCACTTTGAAATTAAACAGGTTTATATTTATCTTTAATTCCGTGATAAAGGAGTTCACAGCTTATAGTATGTAGGAACCTTCTGGCTATGAGATCTTCACCTGAGCACCAATCTCCTCACTAATACCCGTCAAAATTCAATACAAAACTAAAAACCCCTTTACTACATAGAAATCAAAAGCATTAATCTAAACCTAATTTAAGTAAATGGCAAATTTACCCTGACCTCCTTTCAAAAAGCAGCCTTCCTATCCTGAATCACTGCCTGCTCGGACTGCACCAGGAGGGGTTTTATACCTGGCTGATAGGATCACATGATCCAGGTGCTGAGCTGGTAATGAGCTGCCTGAACCCTGCAATCTGTATAGACATAAGAGAGATAACTGAAAACAAAGAGGATTATACAATAAACTGAGCAGGCAGTCTCTGGATCGCATAGCTTCAGGAAACCTCCACACATTAAAGAGACAGCAACCTACAAACTCAACATGGGGTTATTCACTAAATGGAGAATTCAAAGTGAATTTCTAATGTAAGGCCAAAGTATTTGAACTCGAAGTATAGCTATCTTAGAGGGTTTCAGAGTTAGCTAGTTTGGCCTTAAGTTTGAATATCACTTTGAAAACATTGTTTTCTGTATTGGGGTATTTTATATATTTTCCCTATTGTGTTATATGTGGAGTTTGTGCCTCTTTGTACTTTGTGGTGATTTTCATCTACCCTTTCTGCCTTAACCCCTGCACTACCAAGCACTTTACAAAACATTACTTCTGTTCTCGTTACCAAGGTTAATAATTGTAAAGAGGGTTTCGTGAATACTTATCTGCTTGCTCAGTTTGCACTCTACCCAGTAGTTTTATTTTGTTCATTCAAGCTGAACTGACTCCATATGCTCTACATTTGTAAGCATGCCAATTGCAACATTGTGCTGGCGTATAGATATATATTAGGCTGAATTGGCTAAGTTTTTTGTTTACGCCTTTGAAATGGATAGGACATTTTCCATTTAAATCTTAGTTTAGTCTCTTTCACAATTAAAGGACCACTCTAGGCACCCAGACCACTTCAGCTTAATGAAGTGGTCTGGGTGCCAGGTCCAGCTAGGGTTAACCTTTTTTTTTATTTTTATAAACATAGCAGTTTCAGAGAAACTGCTATGTTTATAAATGGGGTAAACCTTCCTCTTAAGCCTCTAGCGGCTCTCTTATTGACAGCTGCTAGAGGCGCTTGCGTGATTCTCACTGTGAAAATCACAGTGAGAGCACGCAAGCGTCCATAGGAAAGCATTGTAAATGCCGCGCGTGCGCATTCAGCCCTGGAGGAGGAGGAGGAGAGGAGGAGGCGGATCGGAAGAGGAGTTTAACCCCTTTCCCCTTTCCAGAGCCGGGCGGGAGGGGGTCCCTGAGGGTGGGGGCACCCTCAGGGCACTATAGTGCCAGGAAAACGAGTATGTTTTCCTGGCCCTATAGTGGTCCTTTAAGATATGTACAGGACTCATTTTTGAATTTACATAATTGAGATATTGCTTTGAAGAGAAAATGTTTATATGGATCCATTCCACCTATGGAGTACTCTGAAACTTGTTACCAAGCCAATGCCCTGTCAGATTAGTTGATCTGTCCCTTGCACAAATGCAATGTCCCTTGACAGCCACTAGAAGCTGGATTAATCCTAGTGTAAACATAAGGATTTCTCTGCTATGTTTACAGCTGCAGGGTTAACACCAGATGGACCTGGCATCCAAACCAGTTCATTAAGCTGAAGTGGCCTGGTTGCCTATAGTGGAAACAGGATCAGGAAAACAAAAATAAAGTGATTGACACAACGTAAACCTTCATCAAGAGGACAGAGGTCTCACAAGGACTAAAAATGATGATTATTAAGTAGGTTTAAACTGCTTAAATGTTTAGATATTTTATTCTTTGCCAATCCTTCATGATGTTTGTATCAAAACAGTCATAATTTAAAAAGATTTCCTTTACCCGTTATCATGGAGTTAAAGGATCACCATAGGTTCAGGAACACAAACATGTATAACACCATCTAGCCCCCCTGGGCCCCTCATGCCTCCATAAATATAGTAAAAATCTTACTGTATTCAAGTCTGAAGCTGTAAATCTGCATGCTGTTAGACTCAGAAAAACAAGCAGTCTGCTGACACGTGGTAGCCCGATCCAATCACAGTGCTTCCCCAAAAGAATTGGCTTAGACTGACAAAGAGGCAGATCAGGGGCAGAGCCAGCATGATTCAAACACAGCCCTGGCCAAATCAGCATCTCCTCATAGAGATGAATTGAATTAATGAATCTCTATAAGGAAAGTTCAGTGTCTGCATGCAGAGGGAGGAGATACTGAATCACAGGATGCTGTGCACAGTGCTGCCCTGTGCTCTGCTGACAGCAGATCTGAGTGGATGGAGACATATTATGCCTCCATCAACTCAGAAGTCCCTCTGGTTCACTCTGAGTCAGGACGGACTGGGAGAAAAATTCGGCCTGGGCATTTTTTTAACACAGCAGCCCACTAAGAAGGGGGCGGGGCCGAGGAGGTGTGTTTTGTCATCACCAATGACAAACATGCCCCCTCTCAAAGTGAGCATGTTGGTTCAATGCTCTCCCAGGGCAGACCATGCGCAGAGCTCTGCTGAAAAGCTCTAGCATGAGAAGAAAGCTCTGTATTTGTTCTGCACAGTGCAAGCAAATTTAATAACATGCTTGAACTGTGTTTCCTTGCAACTTGTCTCTGGTGTCTCTATAAATGGATACCAGGAGACAAAAATGCCAGGAAAGAGTATTGTGCATGTGTTTGGAGCCTGCTTGTGATATTGTGTGTGTGTAGAGTGAGCTTATTGTGGTGTGGTATTGTGTAATAAGGTTGGTTTTAGTCATGTTGTGTTTGTGGTGTAAAGTGGTGTAATGTGATGCATATGTGGCTATGGGCTGTAGAGAATGTGTGTATTGGGGATATAGCAAGTGTGTGCATACAGGCTATAGTGTGTGTGTGTGTGTGTATATAGGGGTGTAGTATGTGTTTGCTTACAAGGAATCTAGTGTGTGTATAGGGGATCCAGAGTGTGTATGTTGAGTGTAGTGTGTGTGTATATGTGTATATATATATATATATATATACCGTATTTATCGGCGTATAACACGCACTTTTTCTCCCTGAAAATAGGGAGCAAATTGTGGGTGCGTGTTATACGTCGGCCCTTTAAATTCTGCAGCCGCCTGAGCGCTCTGTCAAGAGCGCTCAGGCGGCTGCAGTTGGTACTCACCTCCCCTGTAGCGTGGCCGAGCTGCTCTGCTGACCGCGGTGGCCGGCCGGAGTGATAGGAAGGTGCACGCTCAGTGTGCACCTTCCTGTCAGTCCGACCGGGTACAGGAAACAGAAACTCCTGTTTCCTGGCA